CAGGGTACGAACATATTCACTAAAATTGACTTAGTCAGGGCATATCACAATATCCCAATGGCGGATGAAGATATCCCCAAGACAGCTATTACAACACCCTTTGGCTTATTCGAGTTTGTACGCATGCCATTCTGCCTGAGAAACACGGCACTTCCTCAGATATTCTTATTCCACATTCTCGCACTTTCTCTTGAAAGCACGCAGCAAACCGTCAGCGATAGTTGTAGAAAATATCACATGCTACAAAATAAGATGACAAGCTAGTAAATGAAGAGACATCCATGGACTATCATTGAAAACGTTAGTCGTAACTGATTGTAAGTCAAATAGTGAGCGAGTTGACAATTTCGCCTTGGGATGAGAAATAGAACTAAGGTGTTTTCGATAGATAGGTTAATCGAACCGACGTTCCTACGGAAGTCGATTCTAGGGGGAAGCTAATGTAACAGCTCAGGTTGGTTGGTTAAGAGTTGACCCCAAACAACCAAGCATATGCTAAAACAGTATTGTTCAAGTATTCATTCACTTCCTTGTTTTTTGTAAGCGTTATATTCCCTATTATCTTATATTGAATGTTGAGAGCCTTTGTTTGTCTGAACAGATAATCCCACGCTCCACTCTGGCTGCGCGAAGATCGAAATAAAGAACTATTCACTACTTCTCGGGTTTCTTCTATCAATAGCATGAGGGTTACCTATTGGCACGAAATATGTACTAACTGATAATTCCTTTGTACTTAAATACGCGATGATTACGAGTCCCATGTATAATGCGTTGATTTGTACTCACGCAGTTCTACCTGCCTTATACTATACCATTTAGAGAATTCTTAGTACATTGATTCGGATAATTCTAGTCCTCCTACAGTGTTGGCAATAGGGTAAAACCTTGGACAGTTGGATAACAATTGAAAGGGGAATGTCTTTGTAGATTATATAATGAGGTTTGAAATCTGGAGTATGACACAGAATAATATTAAAGATAGTGAGTTCGCAGATTACTTTCTGATATTCATTGGCAAAGAAGCTTGTAACCTGTTACTATATAAAACGTTTCCAGAAAAACCAATGTGACTGTCATATAGACCAATCTAGCAGTTACTACATAGTCAAGTGCCATGTGTAGTGGTACCTATGACATCCACACCCCGTCAAAAGTGGGTAGATCGTGCTTCACATCTCCTATAAACATCAGTCAACTTAGACTAATCACTTCTTGATATATCGATATTTTATCAAATATATTTTCGAACCTCTCCACTTTTGACTCTTGATTCGAATGGGTTGGTGATATGTCTTGCAGTTTTTCCCCGTCGCCACTGATATGTCTTGTGGGTTGAACGCTTATTCAGATCCTAAGCTATTCGGATAACCCCAGGACTAGCACTAATCAGCGACTTGAAGACCAGTAAGAGGACACGAGTAACGGGGAAGATGCTTTATTGCAAGGTTCAGTTTTGTACAGAAAAATCGTAAGTATTTATAGATGTTTGCTTAAGTTAAATCAACATCCTAATTCAGCCAATCCAATAAACGACATATATTGCTACTGACCAATGGTAGCATGCCACGTTGGAACTCCAGAATGTTCTGTCGTGCTCTGATTGGTTGGAGCTCTTTTTGAGCCTCTGGAGGCTCTGTTGGAGTTCTCTGGAAACCGACTTAACAGTTGGCACGTAGTTTTCCTGTAGTGGCGATCATAATCAACCGAGACTTGATGCCTACTACGCGTTGGCACTCATGACAGCCATCAGCATTCTTCTCGAAACTGTTACCAGATACCGAACCGAAGTATAGCATCTTCGACTGTGCCATACGGCACTTTCAACAATCTATTGAAGGTCGATAATTCACTCCTTCCACTGATCACAAACTTCTTGCTTTCTCTTTATGTTCATCTTCAGAAAAGTACTCTCCTCGAGAGTCTCGACAACTGGACTATATTTCTCAGTTTACTTCATATATAAAACACGTTTCTGGAGCAAAAAATGTAGTCACAGACGCTTTGTGTCGAACAAGTTCCTCGAACACTTTCCAGGGAATCGACCTTCTTAAACTCACTCAGCTTGAAAAAGAAAACATTGATCTTCAGCATAAGTTATCATCGACAACTCTTAGACTACGTATTAAGCAGATGGTAACAGGTAAGGAAACCTTACTATGTGACACATCTACAGATAGGAATCATCCCATCGTGCCGAAGCATTATCGACCTAACATCTTCCATACGTTGCACAAAATTTCTCATCCTGGTGTTCATGCAACCATCAAGTTCATAGCAGCACGATTTTGCTGGCCTGGTATGAGTAAAGACGTGAGGGATTCGGCACGCTTCTGTGTAGGCCGCCAGAAATCTAAGGTTGTGAGACACATTAACTGTCGCTTAGGTTCTTTCAAAACTCCCGATGCTCGTTTCGACCATGTCCATTTGAAATTGGTAGGACCCTTACCAGATCCAAACTATGGCTGCAAAAACACTTATTCTAACGTCATATCTTACCGCAATAATAAGTTATTTACTTATCAATTTATTTTATTTCATTTTATTTTTATTACTCATTTCGCGATACATACATAGTTGTTTATTAATGTTCTGCGTTCTACGTATCCTTCGTCTCCTTCATTTCTATTTCCTTAGTTTCTTCCTTTCCTTCTTCAAAATCAATTCAAAATTCTTGCCAATTACACAGAACCTGATTTATTATTACTATTCTATTATAAATATTTTATTTTCCTTTTCTTTCCTTTCTCAAACATGGCAAATGTAATGCTAACATTATCGAAACTTGTGTATTTTTGCATTTTTGAAGAAACCCGAAATGGTTTCTCCACAGTACTTATGTACCCATAAGATGTTTGTGAATAATAACAATAATTCAAATGGATACTCTTAACTCATAACTTGTGTAGATTGTTTGACACTAGGGCCTAGATCAGTACACTTCAAGGACATTAGTACTGAAGCGGTGGCCCGCACCTTCGTCGAACGATGGATAGCAAACTTCGAGTGTCCTTCAGCTATCATTACAGACTGTAGACGCCAGTTCGAATCTGGCCTTTTTATTGTTTGACAACACTAACAGGAATCACACGTTTCCGAACGACCGCCTACCACCTAGAAGCAAACGGGTTGCTAGAACTCTTTCGCTGGCAGCTAAAAGCTCCCCTATCAGCTGCAAACGTTTCGAAGTGGACCGAAACCCTTTCACCCGTCTTACTTGGTATACGCAATGCGGTGAAGGCTGATATTCGATACACCGTGGCACAGCTCGTTTATGGAACGACACTCCGGTTTTAAGGGGAATTCGTGGATCTTTCATCTACTTCAATGAACATGGATCTAATCTCCTACGCGGACAGGCTTACAAACGCGATGCGTTCAGTTAAAACTGTTTCCAATCGACCGCAGCCAACTGATGTTTCCGTTCAACCTGACTTATAATATAGCACACATGCCTTCGTACGTCGATACTCATTTCGAAGACCGTTCGAAATGGCGTACGAAGGACCCCTCAAAATTTTTCAGCGCGAACCTAAGTACTATAAAATCGATAACGGAACTAACGATAGCATCATCATCGATTGCTTCAAAGTCGCGTATTTAGAAGGAAACCCTACTAACGTCTATTTTCGTTCGGTACAATCGAAAGACACGAGTTCTACGTTTACGATACCTCATCCGATAGCCGACAATCACAGGGACACTTTGGAGACATCTGAAAACAGACTCAAAACAACGTGTTCTGGAAGGAGACTGAGGTGTCCAGAACACGTAAATGATTATTGCTTGTAAGACACTAACTAACATTTTGTTAGGTCTCTACTGTTTCTCGAATGATTGTATCAAAGAACAAAAACAAACTATTGGTAATATGTTGAAATATATATTTACTTTGATTTCGGAAAAAACAAAAGCCACTTTTTCTGTTGCTTGCTTATATGTGTATAACTTTATTTTTTCAGAAGAATACACAGAAAAAATTTAGCAAAAATCGTTTTCGCGTTATTGCATGTTTACGAAGCTCATGTATATAAGTTTTTTTCCTTTTTCGCTCTTTCTGCGTCTTAACGCGCGTGCGAGTGCGGTTTGGCACGCACTTACATATCTTTCTTCCTTTCCAGCATAGCTGGAGAAGATGAAAAAGAGACGAGGATTACAAAGGACCGAAATTTGGATTGTACCTGTTTTTCGTCACTACATTGTATCACATGGCCATTTTTTGTAAAAAAGGACCACCAGGTGCTGCTGAACTTAGAGAGCAATCAAAAGAGTGTTTGTAAAAGGCAAGCTCGTTTGGTTTAAACTTCTGACTGGCAACATCTTAGAGTCATCGCTATCCCACTGGCAGGAAAGTGATCTGTAGCGGTAAATAAATTCTAAAAATCAGTAGCTGTGTAAGTACTCTCCGTTTGATGCTGACCATATTAGTTTTAATGGACTTAACTAAATGAAGGCTATCAGTCACGCATCCACACCCCGTCAAAAGTGGGTAGGTCGTGCTTCACATCTCCTATAAACATCAGCCAACTTAGACTGATCACTTCTCGATATATCGATATTTTATCAAATATATTTTCGAACTTCTCCACTTTTGACTCTTGATTTGACTGGGTTGGTATATTTCGACAACAAAGGCATTACAGGTTAAGGCGTTATCAAATTCCGAATACTTATGGCTTCTTTAGTAGAAGTTGAAAGAAAAAATCAGCTGTCCCTAAGATGTCGCTTTTAGTCCTTTACCTTGATAACCGGATGTATTTAGAATGACGTCTACTAACTGCACGTTCCGTCGATATTTTTCAATTAAAATTTGGTCACTACATTACTTGAAATCACTATAACTTATATATATTCCAAATTTTGAGAGACTTCATTTTAAAATTCTTTGGCATTATTCAGGAGTTTTGTCTGTTTTTGAAGTTTGTTTTTATTGACTTTGCAAATACCTCCTAGTGTTTTATCGTTTTGTTTGTTTTATTCCTATAATTAACCTTGAAACCACTGCGTTGCCTATCTGTTTGTTTGTTAGTTGGAGATGGAGCTGACTATCCCGGTTGAACAGATTGGGTACGAACACCAGAAAATTCCGGTAGTGATAAACAGCCAATATGATTTTTGTTTCAGGCACTATTAGTTGGTATTGAAAAGACTGTGTGTACAATACGATATACTGCAAAGTAAGTAACTGATTTAAAATTTATTGAAAAAAGTGGTTTTGTACCGTCGTTACTGAAAGCAATAAACATTTAAACAAAGCATACGGGTATTTTTCTAAAGATTAGTTGTCCGAATAAATGAGTAGTTCGCTACTCATTTGTAAAGATGCTGCCCGCTTGACTGCCATGCTTCCTTGATCGTGGTTGATTGGTAAATCCATTGGTAGAAATATTACTTAGTATGTTAGTTCGATCAAGGTGGTTGATAAAATTTTTTCAGTACAAAAAGTGACCGTGTACAGCCACATATATAACCGTTTACTCTCCTTCCAACCACTAATCTCTATAATCTTGTCAGAATTTTTGTTGCTCTGTACAAGCACGAAATTTGCATTACGGCAGTAATTTCATTTTTCTGTTTTGAAAGATGAGGTGTCCTAATATCACTAATCTTCATACTTCCCTGTTAAGTTGCATAAACTGTAGCCACCACTTAAGATTACCAGAAAGTCAGCCCGTGCCGACCTGTCTTCATTCATCACTCGATACCTCAGTGAATTGACACCATCTAGTTTCCTCCGTACATATAACAGATGCTTATTAGAATTACAACTAGGGTAGATGACGGCTAAATCTGTGTAACATATGCCTTAACTACACCGTTAGGTGTGGTTTATAGGCTTGTCAGTCGATTTGGTGATTTCATAAAGTACCAAAAAAGTATCAAGAAGTACACCAAATCTCATTGCTGCTCATCAAGTGGTTCCACCATGTGCAACAAATTCTCTAAAAACACGAAAATACTGTCAGCTTACTTGTCTCACTTTTACGGTCCACATTTCACAGCCACAGGACATCACAACACCGAGTGCTTCATGTTTTATAATAGGCAGGCAAACATCGTTTTTACGATAAGTGGTGCATCTTTAAAACAATTTATAACCTTCTTGGTCTCACTAGCCACCAAACTTCCAAGACCAATGAGGCGTTCAAAACTAGTGGTGTGACCAGAGTGCCTAACCATCATACTGTGCTGGAAGCAGTAGACTTATTTAATAGTCGTCTATTTCTTTGGCCGGCTTAATGTCTTGTTCGGCCTAATAGATAGTTTAGACATTCGGATCTTCAATGTGTCTAGAGTATCTCTACATCAGCTCTTTGTAATAGTTGCTTAGTAAGATTAGAGTTGTTTATAAAATAGTGGAAATATGTAACGGTTAATCCAAAATCTCGGAATGGCCTTTGAACAGTTATCCACTCAGAAAGTTCCCGAAATCTGCTAGTTCTAGCCTTTTGATGTAGGATGATCGCATTTATTACTGTTTCCACAGCTGTTCGGATATGATGCTAAGCTTTTTCGGGATAAACTTTTTCTCCCTGACCAACTCAGTGCCTTGCCAATTCTTGACCTTTTCAAATTTACATCTTAAAAGATTTCCTGTTGTGATATAATGTCCAGTGACTCTAGTGGAAATAGATCCTTTAGCTAAAACATGGTCGTAGTCCAAACATGAAGTATAGAACGAGCGACAGTCTTCTTTTAGGTCTGTTGGAAGGCCGGTGATGGAATTATGATAAATATATATACATCCTGTTGGTTCTGAGGTTAGGCAGTGTCTCATTTCAAGTCTGCACTTGTAAGGAACAAACATTTGTAAAAGCGTGATTGCAGTAGATGGTCACCGTTATCTGTTCTTTGGGATAGAGCTGACAGAATATGCGCTTAAATGTTCCTCATTTTGACGTAGCCTATGTGCTTTAACTTTATAAGCACCTGATAGGATTGCTACGTTTGAGCGCCTTTCTTTTTGATGAAGGTTGAAGGTCTATCTGTAAAACCCATCTTTTACTTCAGTGAAGTCGGTGTGTTTTTTGGACCATATTCCAAGTTTTTAGTCTTGTTATCATTGACTGATCTCGATTGAGTCAGTAAGAATGTATGTAGGTACAGACAATAATAATAATCGCAAAGTAATTGTCATAGAGGTTTCATGTGATCTAAATGGACTTAGTTTCCGATTGTCAAAATCAGTGGTTAGGATACTGATCGATGGCTGAACACAATGATATAACTTGACTGATTAGAGACTACTTACGAAACCGTAATATTGATTTAGGCCTATAAATAATTAGAAACTGAAGACGAGATCACCGATGGATAGTTTTTTCGTGTAATAAAATAACGTGTTTGTATACAAAATATAAACATAAACTAAGTATAATAGATTGCCATATGCTACCGGAAGAAGTTAGATTTTAGATCATGGATCAATTAAAATCTGACCGTTAGGCCAAATCTTCGGACATTTTATCAGGAATCCGTTGACTTAAGTGTCTAAAAGTCTACCCCCAATAATAATCTGATGATTAGTTAAGGGTCACAGAAAACAAACCCTGGGAAGTCAGATCGGTTTCGGACTTGGGTGTAGACGTGTAGACTAAATATTAGACCTTTGTCATGTTCTGCATCACAGGCATACCTACTAACTCTCAACCGTAGTTATATCTCATGGTCTAAAGTGGGTATTCGATTTTATTGATTGATAACTCTCCTTTAGTGGAGTAACTGTTTAACGTTGTGGTTATACACGGGGTACTTAACAATCATAAAGTCTGTTGATTAGATTGCTAATCTTCATCAACGAAGGTGGCTTGGGTATTTGTTAAGTATGTCTAACCACCGCCTACATAGAGGGCTGATACAGCTAGGAGTGGCCAATTCGAAACGCGATGTCAGCCCACAACGTCTGATCGTTAAACTAAGTCGTGTAGGTAATTCCAGGCTACCTGGTAGTTCGCACAGCTATCGTAACCAGTGGTTAAATACTTTTCGTGAAATCGCCCAAAGTCATTCTCAATAACGCAGATGCATTCTCTAAGTAGATTTATATCCTAAGCACCTACATTGTATGGTTTTTCGCCACGAATCCATATTTTCTCAAACATCTCTTGGTGATCTTTCAGTTACCTCTAATAGTTACTACTCATACTACTATGGCACGTCTAGTAATATTGTGTGGCAACATAACCCAGTGTATGTACGCTCCAGTCTCTACGTTGCTTATAACCGAGTTCATCAAATTTGCAGTTAACTATAGGTATTTACTTAATGTGGTTTGGTAAAACATGTATCTCTACCATGATATTCCTTTATCAACTTTAGTCACTGTACAATTAAAGTCGGTCTTTCCGAGCTTCAATTGGCCCCAAATGCGTTTTCGAACAACGAGAAGCTGGATGTCCAGTCTGGTTCATCTGAAAATGAGGAAATGCCTCATAACTCAAATCATAACTTCTCACCCAGAGATCCTGTTGAGGTCTGGCTAGATTCTGGTTCAACTGCAAGGAAAAAAAGTACAACAGGTGTGGAAACAAGCGGCTCTATGGAATCTGTGTCTATTGCTCCACCCGGGGCGTGGTGGCCTGGTCGAGTTCTTACCATACAAGGCGGCTTCGCACATGTCGAGGTATATTCATTCACATTCTTGTGATTCTCACATCGTTTTGAAGCTATTATTTGGCATACATTTATTTTAACATCGCTATTACTGGCAAATCTTATTTGGTTATTAGCTAGACAACTTAGCAGCATCCTCTTTTTAGAAAGACGAATCTTAGGTCGAATCCTGTTTCCTTCTTAACGGTTATAACGTTGAACTTTGTAATCGTGTCTAACTATTGTCACATCTCAATCAATCATATTTAAGTATAATGTCGCACTTGGGATGTTTTTCAAGTGCGAATTGTGTTTGCAAGCTGCTATATGACTCATGTTTCAGAGGCTATTGATCATGCTTGCTCCTTGTACTTGTCAGGGTGAAGTCGCAGCGTATGAACTGTAATAACGACTGCATAATATAGCTGTAGCGGCTACGTTGTCTGGATTAATGTTAAGTATTATTTATCTGAGATGACATCCAGTGGGTGCACATGTTTATACAGTAGTTTTGCATTTCTTTGTACAATGTTTGTGTCTATATTGTACAGTTGCATGGTATTGCCCAGTATTTTGTAAAAAGTATAGTTAGTTCCTTTAAAAACAATGAATTTTCCCTTCCAGGTTGCTGCCCCATTACAGGAGTACACTGGTGTAGAAGATAAACCAACTGCACATGCCATTCCTCATTTGATAGGACTTGGTTCTGTAGTCTTGCCATATCGCTCAACTCTTGTCAAGGTGACGGAAACCCGAGTTCCATGGAATGGCAAGTTTTCGTGTGATCATACAGAGGATCGATCTCAAACGGGTACTTTGACATCAGGCTTCATTAAGGACAACGTAGTCGAATCAAATAATTTGTTAGTTCCAGGAATCCTTCATCGTCACAGTATTTGCATTCCGGCTTACTTGTATCGACTGTGAGTTCAGTGTGTTTTCATGAGCTACCTAGCACTTTAAATGGACATTTTTGTTTTCACATTCAATGTTCATTTTACATAGAATATCACAGTTCCCTGTTTCGTTAAATAGGAAGAATATATTTGTAAATTCTCAACGAATGAATTTTAAGTTTGGGCGCTGAGTTGATGTGAGACACTAAATAGGAAGAATATATTTGTAAAATCTCGGCGAATGAATTTGCGATTTTACAAATATATTCTTATTTAATGTCTCACATCAACTCGGCGCCCAAATACTGTGGAACTATTTGTTCTAATTTAGACGAAAGTTCTTATATCTCTGTTTCGTTGTTTACTTAAATTATGTTCATTCTATTGGGACTCGTTTAAGCAGAGATAATAAAATTAGTTGTGACTCTTGTATGCGAATCGTTTTCGTTTGTGCAACAATGCACAGATGCGATGGAGTAGTGATTAGTTATGCTATATGTAACGCCAGCGCTATCGACTAGAGTAGAATTACGATTAAAAAGGTTAACCAAATGAGTCCTCACAGTCTTCGTTAATCCTAAACTGAATTCAACAACGTCAATAATAGTAATGTTTGATAGAATTAATGTCAGTAATTTTTGATTACCAACCTAATTTTATTTTTCTGTGTAGGGCAGCCAATCCAGAATCGCATTCAACTTTAGCTAAATTTTGTGGTGCTCCCTGTCTTATCCAGTGTGATTCTGAACCGTTTCTCCCGGGGACTTTTGCAAAACTGATACTAGGAGATAAAGAGGGATCAAATGGATCTGGACGACACTCACCGGTTCATGCTGACTATGGATCAATGAGTCCTTCTTTGTGTCTGTCGACATATACATGGCCTTCGCCCTCTCTGATATCACAAGCAGCTATGATGAATGTTCCATATATCGCTGGAACACTGAGTCCAGCAGGGATTACGGACCCAAACATCCTTTTGACAGGTCTACCTGGAGCCAATGGACCTCTTGTACTGCTACATATCTGGTCTGGTTCGTCTGAAGCAATTCGACGCACAACTTTCTTAGAATTGGGTCACATTCGTTTGTTGGCTGTTAGGTTTCATTTGGTAAGTTTTTTGTTAATTGTTCCATCAAGATATAAAAATATCTTTAGTGTTAAATTCCTTTGTAGGTTAAAGCGATATCACTGGTGTTTTTATTTGTCTGAATTATTAATAAATGTTGTATACATTGGTCTAGTATGATTGTTTTTTTTTTTAGCTAAAGAACTTATCCAAGGGGGAGACTGGTGATCTGGAATTGTCCAATAGTGGTGAATTAGACGTTGAAGATGGAGATGCTCCTGCAATCCATTGTAAACCCATAAGTATACCAGCAACTGTGTCCAGTGACAAACAAGCGTCTGGTGGGATGATTATTGGTTATGAATGTCGTTTTCGGATTTTGCCACATTTGATTGGTCTTGCTATTGGGCATCGTGGTGCAACTATTCAAGAAGCTCGAGGAATACCTGGAGTTCGTGCGGTGGATCTTCTTTTCGATGGAATAGTCCATGTAGAAGCTGAGGTAATTTTTAATAATTAATTTCAGTATCTCAGTTATCGACCGTGCGAACTGCAGCATTTAAAGTAATATGAACTGAAATTATTTTTTTTGAACCAAAAATTTTAGGCAAGTTATAGTTTAATGCTGATCTCAAAAGTTTTGATCCACATGTCAGTTGGTGGACTTATAAATGAATTATTTTAATAAGCTAACACTAAGACACTCGTGAACCTCTTTTGAGTACAAATGTTTCTGGACACGATAAAATTTTAAGGTTTGTATTAGTTCTTAAGCTCTTACATCAAAATGTTTGTTTATGCGAACACCCATCTAAGTTTATATCAATAGCTTTTCGTCCTCTGTAGGCTTGTAAATAGCTTTTCAAACGGTTCCTCATGCCATTTTCTCTCTCTGCGTATACTCAAATGGAATTATGATACAATTTGCGGAATGAATATTGGTTAGAAATAAGGAGCTCAACCTTTAAGTAGGGTAATTAAACCTGCTATATCCTGAGATTTTCTGAAGTGTGTTGAGAAGATTAGTAGCTGCTTTATCGTCGTTAGTCTAAACAATAACGTTGACACTTAAATCCAGCCGCAGAGTTATATATATATATATATAGGGAGAAAATGGGAACATCAGCGGAGTATGATATATTCTCGGAGCCATGTTTAAGCGTATTATTAGGCTTTCTTTACTATCCCTTATTCTGACGAATATCAGACGTGAGTTTCAACAAATTATACTCAATCAACAATCTGACAGATACCACTACTACGGTACTAATTTACTCCATCTGTGCGATAATTGTCCGAACGGTCTGAAATGAATTTCCAACAAATCAGTTTTTTTCCTCATAAGCTTTATATTTGTATTGTCCTATCACCTTTTTGTTGTTCAGACTATTGAAGCATGTCATGCAGTGAGAAATCTTTTGGATTTCACTGAAGTTGAGATTCCAGTCCAACCACGATTAGCAAGTAGACTAATCGGATCAAAGGGCATGAATATTCGCAAATTAGCAGAAGCTGCAGGTGTTCGGAGAGCTAAGCTGCTTGATCCTTTCGCTAGAAAACGCAGACTAATGGCTCAACGTCAAGGCCATTGTCCAGTACGTGGAGGTTCTGTAACGGATGGCGATGCTCATGGAGATACATCAAACGGTGAAGAAACTGACAACGGGAACGAAAAGCTTTCTGTCAATCTGGATGGTTATTTGGCTGATAACAAGAACTCCGGTGGTATTGCCGACTTATCCCCTGCTTTCTCTCTTGTTGGTACACGTTCGTCTGTTGCGAAAATGCGTCTACTACTTGAATTCCAAGCGGATAATTGGAATGAACTAGATGAACTAGAAGTATGTGGTTTGTTGTATCAAGTTAATATTTTCATCCAAAATCAACATCTTGTCCTTTATTTGTCTTTTTGTTTACTACTTTAACAGGCTTTCCGTCATTTTATAAAATCATATACATATGAATTGCTTAAGTTATTCATCGCAATTGTATATCACCCCATTTTATTATTTACTCTACTGTAGGAGGCACGAAGATCGTTGTTTAGTCAGTTGCGTCAAACCAATCAACTCAATCACCAATCGGATTTTGTGTCACCTACGCGCATTTCGAATGGCAGGCCTAGTAGAGGTGGTGGGAATTTCGGGTTTGTATTTCAGAGGATTTTGTAATATATATTTTAAGTTTCTCCTGGTTTGTGACCGAACATATCCTTAACTTCATGAATAATGGCAATTTTTATTTACATACTTTGATTTCATTTAAATATTTACACTCACGACTATATTTCATCTTTCTAGACTGGTTTTCGTTCTGGTTGAGGATACATTGATCATATCTTCTCCCTCCGCCAAATGTTAAAACACCGTCATACTTATCGCAGGCCATCAATCGTAATGTTTATTGATATCAGGGCTGCCTTCGATTCATTGGACAGGACTGTTCTCTGGGATTGTCTATTGACGAAGGGTGTGCCTGAGAAGTTTATTAACATATTAAAAGCCCTGTATACAAACACCTCAGGCAGAATGAACGCATACAACCACCTTTCTCACTTGTTACATTCAAGCAGTGGGGTTAGACAGAGTTGCCCAATCTCACCATTCCTCTTCAACTTTGCTATCGACGACATTCTGAAAACAGCTCTGATGGATGTAAGTAATGGCGGTGTGGATCTGCTGCCTGGAGAAAGACTTCTCGACCTTGAGTATGCGGATGATATTGTCTTACTGTGCGATAATGCCCAAGGCATGCAATCCGCACTTAATCAGTTGGCAATCAGTGTCCGCAGTGCTTTCCACCCTCCAAGTGCAAAGTACTCCTACAAGACTGGCAGGATTCTCATCCTGTACTCACCCTGGATGGTGAGCAGATTGAAGTTGTTGAGAAGTTTGTGTATCTAGGTAGCTTTATAAGTGCTGTTGGAGGCGTGAGTGATGAGATCGATACACGTATAATGAAAGCCAGAGCGGCTTATGCCAATGTGTCAGTCAACTACAACGTAGGACCAGGCACATATATGCATCGGTCCAAGTTGCCATACCTCGTTAGCACAACAAGATGAACACCGGATTCATAGTAGTTAATTTAGTGTTGGTAGTAGTATAAAAATATAGGTTGTATATAAGGATATAGTACAGGAAGGAAGAGAGATATGAAGCAATTTTAGTCTCAAGGTTTAAAGGAAGACAAAGAGTGTATACACCTACGCCATTGTGATCGATTCTGAGCCATGTCACCTAGAGTCTCCAACCATTGGTTACGATAGTCACGCGGACCCCAACCAGGTAGTCTACATCTGCCAACATGGCTCAGACTAGAAGTTAGTGACTTCAAACACTGATGCCATGTTTTGGTTTGGCCGCCCCTAACTCTCTTCCAACCGTCCCCAATACTAGTCATCATAGCGCGTCGTGGTAATCGGTGTTCAGGCATACGTAACACATGGCCCAACCATCTCAGTCGATGAAGATTCATCACCTCAACTGATTTACCATCATTCCCTAATACCCTACCCGGTGATCCCAGCGAATGAGGGCAATATTTCTAAGGCATCTGTGGTCAAATACTAGTAACCTACGAGTATCTTCTACTCTTAATGGCCATGTTTCACAGCCGTAAAGTAGAACAGAGCGAACTGCTGCGCAGTATACTCGTCCTTTAATTGATAGACGGATATCTCGTATTCGCCATAGGTAACGTAAGCTGGCAAAAGCCAAACGAGCTTTTTGAATCCGTGCTGAGATTTCGTCAGACACCAACCCATTAGGGCTGATCAGACTTCCAAGATAAGTGAAGTTGTCGACGTGTTCGACTACTTCACTCCCTATCCTTAGTTCGGGTGTTGACGCAGGCCAGTCCTGGAGTAACAATTTACATTTGAATGGGGAGAAACGCATCCCAAACATCCTGGCATTATTACTGTGTTCCAACAGAAGACTCTGCATTTTGCCAGCGTCTTCACCAAACAGGACTATGTCATCTGCGTATTCTAAGTCGCTTAGTGGTCCCCCTGGTAGGAGATCAATTCCTGTAAATTCAGTCGAAGAGAGTATTATTTCCAGCAACAGGTCTATAATGAAGTTAAACAAGAATGGGGATAGTGGACAGCCTTGACGGACACCACTTGAGGTTGTAAAATCATATGACAGTTCGCCATAAGCTCTCACTCGACTGGTAGTGTTTGAGTAAACAGCCTTCACAAGGTTTATGTACTTCTCAGGTACACCTTTCAATGACAGACACTGCCACAGAACCTCTCGGTATACAGAGTCAAATGCTGCTTTCAAGTCAAGAAAAACTATCATTGTCGGACGCCGATAAGCATGTCTGTGCTCTAAAACTTGACGAATGGTGAATATGTGGTCGATACAGCCACGACCAGGTCTGAAGCCAGCCTGATTTTCTCGTGTTTGCAGTTCACGAGTCTTAGTTAGGCGCCTGATAATTATTGAGGCTAGTATTTTAAATGCTATGTTAGTCAGACTAATCCCTCTATGGTTATCACAGGATGATTTTGGCCCCTTCTTATATATTGGGACAATCAGAGATTGTGACCAGTCGGATGGGATTACGTCCGTCTCACAGATTTTAGCCAGAATATTAGTCAACCTAATCGCTAAAATTGAACCACCATATTTAAAGACCTCTGGAGCCAATCCATCTGGACCAGCTGCTCTTCCTCGTTTCAGATTACTTATAGCCTTTTGAACTTCAAGTAGGGTCGGGGGGCATACTTCAATGTTCAATTCAGGTTTTCTGGGAATAGTGGGTAGTTGTGCAGTAGCTGAAGGCCAGCTAAACTGCTCCTTAAAGTGTTCCGCCCATCGTTCTAAACATTTGGGTTGAGAGCAGATAAGGGTTCCATCTTTTTCCGAGATCGTCTCACTTACACTTGACTTCTTAATTCCGGTTTCTTTTATTAGTCTGAATAGTTGCCTGGTGTTGCCTACAGCCGCTGCCTTTTCCATCTCTTTTGCTTTCGTTGCCCACCACTGCTCACGATCGTTCCTTAGACTTCTAGTTAACCTAGATCTAATTTGTTTACGCTCTTCGTCGTGTTCAGAGCCTGATGGGATGAGTTTACGCGAATCCATCAGTGAAATAGACTTAGAAGAAATCTATTGGTTTTTTGGAGCCTTATGGTTTAAATAACTAATAGATGTTACTGCTGTTTCCACAGCTGTTCGTGTGTCTTTCCAAGCAGCATCTGCGTCAGTCTCGTTTACAGAACTGCCTAGATGTGAACTCAGTTGTCTCTGTAATTCGCATTTGGCTTTCTCGTCCTCCAGTTCAATCCTAATGGGTCTTCTTAGTGTACTTTTCCTGCGTCTATTGAGGCGCAGACAAATGCGCGCTCGTATTAAAGCGTGATCAGAGTCTAAACAAGTATTCCAATACGAGCGACAATCTTCTATTGAGCCTCTCCAACGATGACTGATGACAATATGGTCTATTTGAGTCCATCGTTGGTTTGGTGCAGGTGGTCTCCATGCTAGACGATGTCTCTCCTTCTGCTTAAAATTAGTGCTTGCTAAAAATAAACGATTGTCTGAGCATAGTTGCAACAGACGATCACCATTATCGGTTCGTTGAGCCGGAATACTAAAACACCCACCTAAATGTCTTTCTGTTTGATTCAAGCTGCCTACCTGGGCATTAAAGTCACCCGCTACGACTACTATGTCTGAGCGCTTAGCTTTCTGAAGAAGCTCAGAGAGTTTTCTGTAAAAGTCAGCTTTCACTTCATCTGGGCTGCAGTCAGTGGGAGCGTAGGCAGAAACGACAAAAAGGCAACGACGTGTGTCCCTATCCTTCCGAGTTCTTACGGAGCCATTTAGCCGGACAGCACACAGGCGACTGTTAACGGGGATCCATTCTAATAGTGCCTGTTCTGCCCTTGCACTTAGTGCTATGCCTACACCTGCAAGTCGACGAGAACTAGCCAACGGGTTGCCAGATACACGGAGAGTGTATTTCGTTGGCTGTCCGTTTTGGAAAATGGGGAGAGGTGGTCATGGTGTAAAACATTGCACTTTCATGGATAATACAGATTCATATTTTTTAGGTTTGACAATCCCGTCAGTTGCACTTCTGAATGGTGAATCCTTTTAAAATGCAGTTACTTTTATTGGTTTTTCAATCTATAATATACACTCTTCTCGATATTTATCGTTTAAGAGTTCGCATAAATAAAGTAATTTACACATGCTCGAGTGTACAATTTGTGTTAAATGTAGCCTACTTTACATCATAATTTTTTTGTTTCACTATGATTTTCAAAATTATCATTTATTTAGAATAAATTACATTTACTAAGTAAAATCAGTAGTCATAATTTCTCGTCGGCAGTACTTTTGAACGTAGAGCCCACGTTTTTGTTCGTTTATTTTAAATACGAGCCCATAGACTCCTTGTCTGATTTCATAAGTCATAGTTAACACAGTCTCATGTAAAGCATCTTTAGATTAAGGACATATTTATGCTATCACCTGATATAATGTAGTTAGCTCGATCCTGAACTGTGTCAGTAGATGCAGATTACTTCGTTGAGATGTGCGTGATCAGTGGTCGGAAACATTGGCTTAAATGACTCAGGTACGATCACAGTCGTGCAGATGCATTCATTTATGTTTTCCTATGTTTTGGGCTTCAATATTTTATTCGTACTCATTTTTTAAATTTATGTCTTTTCGAGCTGTATCAGCTAAACGTAGTCTTTCTCACTATCGTTAATAGCATTGGTGCTTCAACTCTTATGGTATTTAATAGATTAACTTTATCTCGATTTTTTTATGTGATTTTGCAACTTTGGCTGGTTGACATTTGTCCCAGGCTTTATACAGAGTATGATTGTAAGATTTTTCGTTATATTGTATATAGATATTTCTTATTCTTTGAAACTAAATCCGTTTCTCAGGAGGAATCGAACTGTGGGTCGCGGTCGTCGACAACCTGAGAGCTTTGTTCCTGATCAATCTTTGGATGATAAAGAAGTATCTCATCCACCTAATGCACATGGACAACACCTGCGTTGCAAAAATATCCACCAGTCAGATGTACCTAATAATAATATGAAAAATCATCAATCATCAGTCAACGATTCGTATTCTTGTTATTCTAACGGTATATTTAAGTTCACTGATGATGTTCATTATTAAATGCCCATAAGTTTAACTTAAGTTTATACTATATTGAGGTTGTATTTCGTACTTGAGATTTACTCTACAAATAGTATACTGAAAATCTTCATTATGTGTATCGATTAAAGTACATGGAAATCCTAGGCATTCGATTTGGCCTGTTTCTAATAAATGTTTAGAAATATAGAGCAACTCCCAGGTAATTCCACTGCACGAAATTCATGTCGAGTTCTATCCGGTGTTGAGAATTGTTGTTTAGATAGTTGCACACAATTTAAGGACTTATGGTTTCTGAGAGTTGTGCAACAAAGCTCCATATCCATATGTGCATCCTACTTGCTAATTAATTCTATGCTTTAGATTTAGAGACGAGTATAATAAATAAGACAAATCGACTCCTTGTGTATGATTTTTTTAAAACATATCTCATTTCAAATGATCGTTGGAGATAGAAACCATAAACAGCGTAAAATAACAAATATTCTGACAATAACAAGCTTTTTATGTAACCGAAAGTTTTCCATGACAAGATATTTTCGTTGGTTCATTGTCTTGTCATGAAAATGTATTTTGCCAACACCATAGGTAATTAGATGATAATATTACTCATACAGGGGTGCCGACTTTAATTTTTTTGATATTCATCATAGTACCCAATAAACCAATTTGGTATTTGATTGTCTTGTGTTCTTAAGTATCACATGTTTATCTTCCATATTTCCTTAAGGTGTAATGTCAACTGGTGATCATGAAAATACACAAGTCAACAATAAAGCCATTAAGAATGATAATGTGAGCGCAAATAATGTAAATGACGACCAAACATCAAAACAGAACAACGGTACCTCTAGACGTAGTCAAAACCGCAATAAGGCAAGAGCAAGTTAATATTCACGGTTTTATGATATTTCACCAAGATCGTATGGTGCCCTTTTACATACGTTGCCTTTTGTTCCAAAAGTTAACTATTTTTAGTTAAAGTGTGCTTTCTTTAAGTTATTAGGCTTATGTTTCCCGCAAAATGTTCATAATCTTATGCAGTGTAGATGTTCTTCCTCCTAGTATTCTGCATAAATGCTCTTTCATTTTCAGACTGTATCTCAATAATGACAGGACATCACGTGTTTGTTTAGATTTTCGCTTAGCCTTTTAAAGTGCATTTACACACGCGCCACCACTGTGTAATTAAACATGACTTTGTTTCTTTCACCAGTCTGTACCTTTTTACATTGCAACCTCAAATCGACTGAAAATTATATTTTAGCTTTTCTTTACCACCATCTATTGATAAATTTTGATCTTTGAAAATAAGGTTGTTGGTTTTGTGTATTATTTTTTCTGTAAGGAGGTGGGGTAAGTCATATCTTCAGTCAACAACACGATTGTTAACATTGTAAATCTGTCGCGTTTCTGCTTGAAAAATATAAAACATAAGTGTCCTGATAGGAAAATTTAGTTTAAATCAACACGTCCGGGCTTGAGTGTTTCGGAGATTACACATGGGTATATATACTCCATTCACTTTGCTCATTATATGATATTTCATCGACCTTGTTTTTTCTGTAGCTACTGTGACTTACGTCAAATATTTCAAAATACTATGGAAGCATTCGCATCACGGAATAAGTGATTTTGGTGCATTCAGACTGTTTATGTCCACATGAGTAAGTCAGTCAACTACAACGTAGGACCAGGCACATATATGCATCGGTCCAAGTTGCCATACCTCGTTAGCACAACAAGATGAACACCGGATTCATAGTAGTTAATTTAGTGTTGGTAGTAGTATAAAAATATAGGTTGTATATAAGGATATAGTACAGGAAGGAAGAGAGATATGAAGCAATTTTAGTCTCAAGGTTTAAAGGAAGACAAAGAGTGTATACACCTACGCCATTGTGATCGATTCTGAGCCATGTCACCTAGAGTCTCCAACCATTGGTTACGATAGTCACGCGGACCCCAACCAGGTAGTCTACATCTGCCAACATGGCTCAGACTAGAAGTTAGTGACTTCAAACACTGATGCCATGTTTTGGTTTGGCCGCCCCTAACTCTCTTCCAACCGTCCCCAATACTAGTCATCATAGCGCGTCGTGGTAATCGGTGTTCAGGCATACGTAACACATGGCCCAACCATCTCAGTCGATGAAGATTCATCACCTCAACTGATTTACCATCATTCCCTAATACCCTACCCGGTGATCCCAGCGAATGAGGGCAATATTTCTAAGGCATCTGTGGTCAAATACTAGTAACCTACGAGTATCTTCTACTCTTAATGGCCATGTTTCACAGCCGTAAAGTAGAACAGAGCGAACTGCTGCGCAGTATACTCGTCCTTTAATTGATAGACGGATATCTCGTATTCGCCATAGGTAACGTAAGCTGGCAAAAGCCAAACGAGCTTTTTGAATCCGTGCTGAGATTTCGTCAGACACCAACCCATTAGGGCTGATCAGACTTCCAAGATAAGTGAAGTTGTCAACGCGGTCGACTACTTCACTCCCTATCCTTAGTTCGGGTGTTGACGCAGGCCAGTCCTGGAGTAACAATTTACATTTGAATGGGGAGAAACGCATCCCAAACATCCTGGCATTATTACTGTGTTCCAACAGAAGACTCTGCATTTTGCCAGCGTCTTCACCAAACAGGACTATGTCATCTGCGTATTCTAAGTCGCTTAGTGGTCCCCCTGGTAGGAGATCAATTCCTGTAAATTCAGTCGAAGAGAGTATTATTTCCAGCAACAGGTCTATAATGAAGTTAAACAAGAATGGGGATAGTGGACAGCCTTGACGGACACCACTTGAGGTTGTAAAATCATATGACAGTTCGCCATAAGCTCTCACTCGACTGGTAGTGTTTGAGTAAACAGCCTTCACAAGGTTTATGTACTTCTCAGGTACACCTTTCAATGACAGACACTGCCACAGAACCTCTCGGTATACAGAGTCAAATGCTGCTTTCAAGTCAAGAAAAACTATCATTGTCGGACGCCGATAAGCATGTCTGTGCTCTAAAACTTGACGAATGGTGAATATGTGGTCGATACAGCCACGACCAGGTCTGAAGCCAGCCTGATTTTCTCGTGTTTGCAGTTCACGAGTCTTAGTTAGGCGCCTGATAATTATTGAGGCTAGTATTTTAAATGCTATGTTAGTCAGACTAATCCCTCTATGGTTATCACAGGATGATTTTGGCCCCTTCTTATATATTGGGACAATCAGAGATTGTGACCAGTCGGATGGGATTACGTCCGTCTCACAGATTTTAGCCAGAATATTAGTCAACCTAATCGCTAAAATTGAACCACCATATTTAAAGACCTCTGGAGCCAATCCATCTGGACCAGCTGCTCTTCCTCGTTTCAGATTACTTATAGCCTTTTGAACTTCAAGTAGGGTCGGGGGGCCTACTTCAATGTTCAATTCAGGTTTTCTGGGAATAGTGGGTAGTTGTGCAGTAGCTGAAGGCCAGCTAAACTGCTCCTTAAAGTGTTCCGCCCATCGTTCTAAACATTTGGGTTGAGAGCAGATAAGGGTTCCATCTTTTTCCGAGATCGTCTCACTTACACTTGACTTCTTAATTCCGGTTTCTTTTATTAGTCTGAATAGTTGCCTGGTGTTGCCTACAGCCGCTGCCTTTTCCATCTCTTTTGCTTTCGTTGCCCACCACTGCTCACGATCGTTCCTTAGACTTCTAGTTAACCTAGATCTAATTTGTTTACGCTCTTCGTCGTGTTCAGAGCCTGATGGGATGAGTTTACGCGAATCCATCAGTGAAATAGACTTAGAAGAAATCTATTGGTTTTTTGGAGCCTTATGGTTTAAATAACTAATAGATGTTACTGCTGTTTCCACAGCTGTTCGTGTGTCTTTCCAAGCAGCATCTGCGTCAGTCTCGTTTACAGAACTGCCTAGATGTGAACTCAGTTGTCTCTGTAATTCGCATTTGGCTTTCTCGTCCTCCAGTTCAATCCTAATGGGTCTTCTTAGTGTACTTTTCCTGCGTCTATTGAGGCGCAGACAAATGCGCGCTCGTATTAAAGCGTGATCAGAGTCTAAACAAGTATTCCAATACGAGCGACAATCTTCTATTGAGCCTCTCCAACGATGACTGATGACAATATGGTCTATTTGAGTCCATCGTTGGTTTGGTGCAGGTGGTCTCCATGCTAGACGATGTCTCTCCTTCTGCTTAAAATTAGTGCTTGCTAAAAATAAACGATTGTCTGAGCATAGTTGCAACAGACGATCACCATTATCGGTTCGTTGAGCCGGAATACTAAAACACCCACCTAAATGTCTTTCTGTTTGATTCAAGCTGCCTACCTGGGCATTAAAGTCACCCGCTACGACTACTATGTCTGAGCGCTTAGCTTTCTGAAGAAGCTCAGAGAGTTTTCTGTAAAAGTCAGCTTTCACTTCATCTGGGCTGCAGTCAGTGGGAGCGTAGGCAGAAACGACAAAAAGGCAACGACGTGTGTCCCTATCCTTCCGAGTTCTTACGGAGCCATTTAGCCGGACAGCACACAGGCGACTGTTAACGGGGATCCATTCTAATAGTGCCTGTTCTGCCCTTGCACTTAGTGCTATGCCTACACCTGCAAGTCGACGAGAACTAGCCAACGGGTTGCCAGATACACGGAGAGTGTATTTCGTTGGCTGTCCATTTTGGCGAGGTGAGGTCAAGTGAATGACCACACTAGGATCCTGTATGGGTGTTTCGGAGACACAGCATACATCAATGGTACGAGATTCTAGGGTTTTAGCTAAGGAGGCTTGTTGACCGATTTGGCATAGGGTACGTACGTTGAAGTCTCCAATGTGTAGTTTGGAGCGAGGTTTTAGTAGACCTGGGATAGCGTTTCGCCCACTAGAATCGTTGCCCCTGGTGACACTTGAGGAGGAAACCGAGAGAGGAAGTTTAGTGTTGAAAGTCAAGTTAGAAGGAATAGTAGGAATTGAAGGAGATTGATTATGAATACAGTGGTCTTGAGTGCTGTTAGAGGCATGAGGGCAGTTATCACTTCCCGGTTGCCCACACCGTGGAAGGATTCTTCTAGAGGTACCTGAAAAGGGAATTGGGTTAGAAGTGGTCTTAATGACCGGAGAGCGTGACCGCAGTGCCCAAGGGACAACTGCTTGAGGTCGGTCACACACGACCTTTTTGTGGGTAGTTTTTGTGTTAGCTCCGTTCTTCAAAAAAAACCTTACCGCCGGAGACGGATATCCGTGGGATAAGGCGAGGTGTTCATTTTTAGGGTCGACCTTTTCTAACCCCACCCCTCGTTGTGGGAAGGCAGCATCGCTGTCATGCTGGTTGTCTGAAGGAAACACCTTACTGCTGTCACACCTCTGTACAGTCAGCAGTACGACTTCGCCTTCGGACTTTGGGTTTGCTGCTTTTAGTCTCACCGCTCTTCAACCGACCTGTCTGGCATGGTAGGACCTCGAGGAACGATTGTTCCAGCCAGCATAGCTCGATTGCTTCATCACGATAGGTAAGCCCGACTACCACATCAAGGTAGCAGCAACGGTTGGGTGTCCACATGCGACATAATTACAAAGATTCTTTGATTTCACTGCTTTCGTAATGGTTGAACTGCTAGAGATGTAAACAACTTCAGGGGTTGTAATCTTGAAATCTTTCGGAGTATTTATTCGTCTTGTCCTTCGTTAGGACACAGTCCAACTCATCCGGTTAGGATACTGTGACTTACTAATGAGCCATATTACATCATTACAAGCCATTCTAGTGAGTATAAAATTTCGAGTCAAAAGTGTTTCGTGCATATTTGAGGTCTGGGTATGTATATGTGATGGTTTCACTTTGAAGATTCACTAGACTTTATATCAGTTTGTGGACACGCGGTTCTTCCGTGATCCGTAGTTATAAAATAATGCCCTTATCTTGTGAATTTGTGGATGTAGTAGGACCAAATCCTCTGTTTGTAATTATCTGAAATCTCAGGGGAAAGGGTCTCCATAAGAACATCTCATATTTGTAGGTTGGATACTATTTGAGGCATTCTAACATAGATAACCAAGTTTCAAAGTCGACACTGAGCTATTCAGTTCAAGTCCGACGTTTAATGCAGATTTATTTCATGTATGTTTAGTCATATGCTGCGACGCGATCACTGGTCCAAGTCACTGAACCTTGCGTGCACTATTGCAGTGCTAGATAAAGCCTGAATACTCCAGCAGTTACGTGGTTCCAAAATACAAAGTGAATTATCCTTGTTGTAAGACGCGCATCAGAAAGATGCCCCGAGCAATGTTTTATGTTGGTTGCTTCCAACTGCTTAAAATCAGGTAGTGCACAGGATGTCAAATTATTTAGGATGTTGGTCATATTGCAACGTGGTCGATGGAATTCGATCAACATTGAACACTGAGGCTATCTTAGTAATAGTACACTGTTAAAGTACTTTGCTACAAAAATAAACTTTGGTAAATGAATGTAGGGGTAGACCGCCTGCCTATCACTTATAGAGGATTTCCATTTAACACAGCAAAAAAGATATTTATCTCATTAAACGGACCTCATACTTTAAGGGCGGAAGGGAAGTAGCTAATTCTAATTACATGTGTAATTTTATGTTTTCAGAAAAATGTTTGATACAAAATGTTGCGTAATATAGTGGGAGACTAACTTTCTAGAACGGCTTTGACAAAATAAATTTCAAGTATGAAGTAAACAACCAGTATAGAGTTGTGGAGATTGTTGAGTTTAAATTGATATCGTGAATAAATCAAGATGAAATTTCTGGAGTTCTAGTAAGAAGCTGTGGCCAGTGGAGTTCAGCAGTGTCTGTTGCGTAGTAGTTACTTACTGAAGACAATAGTCGACGGTCGCGCGATATTGTAGATTCATTGAAGTTAGGTGTCAACACTGTTGGATACCGGCTCAGTGGTCTAAAGGTTAAGTATTCGCGCGCAAGACCGAAAATTCTAGGTTCGAATCCCGCGTACGGTATCGTAGATGCGCGCTTCTGAGCCCCATACTAGGATGAAGCCACCGTCCAGTGCTCCCAGGTTTTCCATGGTAGTCAAACATTGATCCATTCGTGATGTCAGTTTGAACTAATATCAAGTAGACATTGAGTTTATACTTGAAGAGATACTTGTGTCTTATGTAAGAATTTTTGTTTGCTGGCTTTACAGAAATGGTTATGAAACTAATAGCGTACATACTTAATCAGGGATATTATCGTACGGACGGTCCTAAATTGAATTAACGAAATTACCAACGTATTGAAGAACTAGACAACTGAGTTCAATACATATCTAAAAATGTTTCAACATCCTAACACCATGGATAGACCCAACTAATCGTGTATTTATGAATATTTATTCTTAGCAGGTTCCATGGACTCTTTCCGAAGCTATAATATGATATATATGTAATGCAACCCAAATGAGCTGCCGTTTGCTCAAAATACGTTTTTCCTATGCTTTACATTCAACCTTATAAAATCAACTGGAGTATATTATTTCTAGTATAAACAAATTACAGAAATAATCCAACTACAAGCAATAAGTGGATTTTGATTGTGATGTTCCGATTTGTCCAGTGACAGCGACTCCCATCAAAAATTCCTGCAAAAAAGAAAGGCAGCGAAGTGTGTACACTAAAACACTAAACGTTATATAATCATTAAGGGCAATTAGTTCTGTATCTACTATAACACAAGAAAGGTATAGTATTGCGTCCCTATTATCTGGGAAATTCGAAGTAAAGTACGGTAAAAATATTTAAAGTTTGCAAAAAATATATACTGACTGGGATGACTAGTTTTTGTCATGTCATAAATTTGGGGAAGATGTGCACTTTCCTACACATCCCAATCAGTAACTACATGTATGAGTGTGATTTTTTATTTTCATCAATCTTAGCTTTTCCTTCTTGCTAAATATTTTTCTGGCTAGCGATGTAAGTTGCTGTAAACGACTCACTGAATTATGTTATCTAAAATGTTTTGCACTTCTCGGGAATATTTAATGCGATTCAGATATGGGTATCAAATGAAATACTAAATAGAAATCTATACGGAAAGATTTGCTTTTTATTAGACTGAAACAAATAAGAAACATACTTATATTCTAATGCATTAATAGTCAGTGTCTGTGACAGCGGAAAGGAAATATTCCCCTTGAGGCCACAGAATCCCCAAATAAATGCTATCAATCACATTAAAAGCTTTGTATTAGCAGTTTATCGCGAAAACCTGTTGGGTTAAGTGTGTAAAAATTATTAGGCTTTGGTTACCGTTCAGCACTAATAAACTGTTACTGATTATTAATTCAAAGTAATATCTTGTTTGTATGTAACGGATTAAATTATTAATGGAATTAGTTACATTCAAAAAGAAGAACTTATTTAGATCTAATAGCTTATTATCAACTAATTTATTACTGCTAGATTTTAATGTTGATATAATCCGTTGTGTGGCTTCCTCATTACTACATACACACGTTGCTAACTAATGTCAGACAACATTAAAAGAAAAAACGATGCATGTCCATTAACTTGTAGCGCGTCTATATTTCAATGTTCGATTTGTGGGAGATTTTTTCGCCCACTTAGTGGACGAGTGGTGTATAAAGAAGGTGTTTGAGATGCGCTACCGTAGCGTGTCCATAGAAGATATTTGTAGATAGCTATAGACTAAATGAACAGATAAATGCTAATTAAACTATACCAACCAATTCACAAAACTAATGATATTGAGTCAAACCAAAGCGATAGCTGTACAGTATAGCATTAGATATTTTTAATGATTGAGTAAAAACAATCTATTAGAGTTATGTGAGTTTATTAATTTAATTAGGAATTTCGATATATTTGAATAAGATTTACCGAAAAGTTTCTACATTATTGTGCAGCAGTTTCATAGAAAGCACCACGTGAAGAAAAATATCAGGTGACTAAATGTTTAAAATTTGTAAGATTAGCGGTGGATGTATCTATGCCATAGTTATTCATAAATTTTATTTATGCCTGAGGCATTGACTTTGTAGGCAGTTTCTTAGCTCACAGAAATCTGTGTCTCAAAAGCACAGAGTGAGTAAATACACTGGAGACTTTATTTTCAATGTTGATTTAATTTGAAAATTGCAGCTATTTTTATGGTAACTGATGATCTTAAAGATCTAGGAGCTTTTGGCAGTTGTTCAGGTGACTGATTGACTAATTAGGTTAAAAATGAACAAAAATGTATAAACATTTTTTGTGTTAATTCTCAAAGCAATAATTAGATAAGAGTAAATTGGGGGTCAACTTTTCTCTACGACTAATTAACACTTCAAATTGAATTAGGAAGAAAGAATTCGTTAATATGTATATACAAAGTTGTTAATTATAAAATAATGACCCTATGAAATTAACTGACCTTTAATACTTGACTAGATTGAATAGTACTCATTCCAGTTCCACGAATATTTGTGATAAACTTATTTATTAAATATGATATTTGAGAATTATGGCAAATAGATGATTCATTGACATTTTGTTTACAATATACATCAGTAGAATATAATAAATTAATTAATTCTAATGTACCAGCTAATGGTACTATAATTCTTTGTCGTTCATTTGTATAATCTTTAAGATAAGCTAAACTTCCTGTAAACCCCACGTCAAAAAAAAGAAACAATTAAAAGGAATAACATTCATTCAAAGGAATGCAAAATGTTTACACTATACAAAATATACAGTTTATAAAGATTATAAATTGAAAATGGTAAAAGCAGTAGTTTTATGAACAACATGTTTGTGAAATTATCTTCATATAAATGAGCTTATTAAAAGTACAATGTAACTAAACCATACATTGACCTAACATCACATGAAAACCTTGTAAAAAAACAAATAAACATCCATATCCATTGTTTAGAACATTTTTTCAATCAAACACGTTTTATTATACAAGATCGAAATAGTGATGTCAGAGTTACAACGCATATAAAGAAATAAAAAGCTGACTATCGACTGCATTATGGATAATGTCAGTACGCAAAAGTACTTACTTACGCCTGTTACTCGCAATAGAGCATAGGCCGCCTACCAGCACTCTCCAGTACACGCAAAATATAACAAACTATTTTACAATAAGTTGGAGAGTGCTCATCCACTTTTGTGGACATGAACTAAAGGTAAAAAAAGTGCAAAGAAATATGAGGTGAAGTAACGTTTGATTGTAATGTGTGTCAGCGAGGGGACTCAAAATTAGACATTATTCTATTTTACGGGTTTATACATCTTTCAAGGCATTAACCGCCAAAAAAATTGACCATATATTTAGGCGTTTAAAAACAATTGATCAATTTACCGCCATATAATATCGCGGAATTTTTACAGAATAGTTAAATAGATTCATTTAAATTCAAACACACATATACTATTAAACTCAGCGGAGATTAGAATTATGGGTAATTCCTGAGATCTATTTCTAGACTAATATAACACATATTCTTATTGTATAACTGGATTGTATATATTTAGATTTCTTCATGTTATAAGTTTTATTTTGACCTATGGGCAATTATTATACGATTTGCTATTCTTAAGTTATGTCCAGTTTATTAATTATAGCCTCTCATAATCACAGTCACTTTTTAGCCTGATCCTTTATAATAGTTATTTTGTATTTTATGGTATGGTGTAGTCTGGTTTGCTTGTTATATAAATCCAGTATGTTTGAAATATATGCTTCTGTATTATTGGAACACAAGTATTGGTAAAAGGGGGGCACCAGATTTATATGCGCCACACAAAACAATGAGAATAGGAAAAGAAAGAGGGTAAGGTTCATATAAGAAAAAAGAAAAGGAAGGAACAATAACAACTATAGATTAGTGTATGTTACTGTAATAACAGGGATGTATAACCGGAAGAACTCTTTCAGTTAAGGGAAATATAAACACTCTTAATGAAGAAAGTAAAAGAAGGTTACAGCACGATCGCTACTGGCTTCTATTCTGATCCATATCTGATAACGTCTCTATCTTTTGTGCTGCACCATCTCTCGGGCCCCAGCCAGGGAGTCGGGAGGGACCAACAGAGGAGAGCCCCTTGCAGCTTTCTTTGATACCACGACACCATGTCATAAACTGACCATCTCTCCACATTTTCCAACCTGTCCCAGAGTCTGCAAATAATGCACGGCGACACCAACGCCAGCAAGACCAGACGAGTATGCCACAGGGTCCCCGAGTAAACGCATGTAAAACAAGCTTTTCGAAGTGACAGATGGAGGGCGAATTTGTAGTACATCACTAGAGTTTTGAATACGGGTCTCGGATAGACAACAAACGTCGATATTAAGACTTTCTAAAGACATAGCCAGTCCTATTTGTTGTCTGATCTGCATTACTGTGCGAACGTTGAAGGAAGCCAATTCGGATGTTGTACATGGTTTCAGATAGACTGGTTCAGTAGACGTATTCGGTGGAAGCATTGTTTAGATGGAACAGAGTTTCCACCATAGGCGAGCTGCTGCATAAGTTGAAGAATGAGAGTACATGAAGTGGGAATAGATGAAGATAAGTGACTTAGTATAAAAAATAATACTAGTAATAATAATAAAAGTGAGCGTCATCAAGTGAATGAGAAATGTCTGAATTCTAATTCGATTCCATGAAGTAATTTTCATCTCATAGGATTTGTGTGTGGGCTGTGATACTGTCCGGGTACCCAGACCGAAGAAGGTGATTTTCTTAGGGGGCCACATTCGGAGCCTTCAACCTAAAGGTCTGATCCACAAGGCAGTGGAGCATTGTGAGGAGATGCAGTCCCATGGCAGCCGGTGATTAACGATTGGTGTTCTGGACTCAAGTGTGAGGGCTAGGAGGAAAAAGGATCAATAAGGACGCTAGGCTGCTCATACTGGTCAATGTGTCATTGGCTTGGCACAGTGCTAAGATTGTATAGGTCTTATCCTGACTGGCGAATAAATCAGGTGATAACTAACCGGCTGAAAGTCACAACAAATACTTTATTGTCATGTAAGTGAAATTCAACGGTGTTTGGTTGAGGTTTCAGACAGGTGGATAAATAGACATGACTTGTAATATATAATTCACACTTTACTCGTACTTCCTCGGTGTTTTTAGGAAACAGGAGATAGTTATTTGGTTGGGGTTATAGTGCCAAACGAATGCGATACACTTGATGCATTAGGATCAATTCCTAACTGAACATCACAAAATTTATACATTTCCAGTTAATCAGTTTGACGTAAATTTGTCAAAACGAAATGAGTACAACTGTGAAATAGAACTCAGACAAACGATTTTGTTTTATGAATCAAGTATTAGTAATAATGGTTGTAACAATTGTCTCTTACCAATATTAGCTCCATGAAAAACAGTTTCTTCTAAATGTCTAACCAGTGAAACAACATCGCCGAAACCAAGATTAACACCTTGACCAGCAAGTGGTAGTATTCGATGAGCAGAATCACTGTATTAATGGTATATTTAAAAAAAACATTTGAAAAGAGGTGCAATTAATAAATAAATTCAAACATATCTTGAAATATTTTTTGATAAATACTATTTTAATCTTAAAAAAGCCTCCAGATAGTCCACACGATAGATTATAATTTCATTTGGAATGATCTCACCAAAATATATTCTAACAGCCAACAAAAGTTAGTATTTTTATTATAACCTGGTAAACAGTTTACTAGGGTCTGGACTATTGAACTGTAATTATTTGAATATGTAAATTAAAATGAGAGCGAGGTAGACAACCCGGTAATTGATATTCCAGTTTGAAAAAATATCTTGCCTCTGTTACGTGATAGTCACTTTGATTCTAGATGACTTCACAGCCCGCTTCCTCACATAAACTTGCAAATCTAACAAAAATAGGAAGGATAGGTAGTAGTTGCCATAATCAGTTACTATGAAGTGATGTAGTCGAAAAAGCAAGAGAAATACGGTTATGAGGATGGTTGAAATTAACTTAAACGCTCCACTTGTTGTTTGCTTATATATATATATATATATATATATATACCTCCTATTCAACTTTAAAACATTGTGAACACGATCATGAAACGAGACGTGGAACTTGAGTAACTTAAATATATGTAGCATTTGAAAACTAAAATAGTTTAACTAATCTTAAATTCCTTCAATATTCCGTTGTCATCACACACGCACTGAAGATCGTATACTATAATCGTTTTTACTACTGAGGATGTGTATACCATCTCATTAATGGCTGACTCAATTAGAAACGAACATAATAGATAACTATTGATTAATAAGTAGCGTTAAAAACTAATACATCAAAATCTTATTATCTTACAGTTTACGTCACGATCGAATGTAAAGCAATCACCTACCAATTGGATGATGACGTAATATCGAGAATTGAAGTTAGGCATGTAAACAACCGGATGATGGCTTAGTAGTCTAAAAGTTGAGAGCTCGCCCTAAGCCCGGAAAGCAGTGTGCTTGATACTGGGTGGGGTCATAGATGATTACTGTTGAGAAATCCGATACTAAGACGAAGCGGCCATCCAATGCTTTTAGGTTTTCAGTGGTTATCTAACTAAGGTCAATGGCTATAATGCAAGCCATAAAATTCAATAAACTCATGCATTATTATCACTGATATTATTATTTGAATAGGTATTTAGATGATGAACATACCCCACTAGTGCTACACGAGTAGCTGAACAAAATGTTGCATGTTGAAAACCTAGAGGGAAACAAGCCCTTTTCGTATTTGGTTGGATTGATGCTACTGATGGTGTTGAAAATGAGCTGGATTCACTTTCATTGTCTGTAGATTTTATTTGATTACCAAAGTAATCAACAACACTAGCAAAACATTGTCCCACGTTACTGAGAACTGTACCAATTTGTGACATCGATTCACTAGGTTTAGTCTAACAAATGAAGAAAACAATACATGTTTCTTGAAAGAAAAAAATATCGGAAGGAAGTGGGATATAATTTGGCAAAGATAAACAAATGTGACAGAACTATTGAATATCTTAACACTTAACGACTGTAACATTAGCATTGTAGCTTTAATATACCAAACTGAATGAAATATTCTAAACGCAGAGATTTTAACATTGGACCTTGAAAACAAGTTAGATTCTAGAAACAATGTGTTGTTTGGAGAATTGCATCAGGTTTAATAAATTGTCCGTGAACTTACTACAAATAAATTTCCCATACAATCATTGAAGTTTAGGTACATATAAAAGCATGAATCAAAGGATTTCACAACTTACCAAACAGTCATTCAACTCTTGAATAAAATATGAATCTTTTAAATTCATGAGACGATCAGCTTCGGACGAAGTTGTACTCCATACCAATGATGTATATTCTTTCGATAACTTTTAGATAAATGACAAGGAAAGAAGTATAATATAATATATACCTTGTTACAATTTCGCACAATTTCAAAACTAATCGTACATAAGTTATTAATAACTCATCTAAGATTTAATAATTACACTAAAAATTAATTCATAAAGATGATAATTATCTTCAATGATTATCAAGATTGTGAGAAGAAAAAAAATATTTGTTAGATGCTTTCATAGCTATGAAGACAATAGATCTTCCATAAGAAAATTCATTAGACAAATAAATCTAAATGTACAACGTTACAATAAGAGACGTTTATTATGAATATATATATATATATCTCCTTTAAATGAACTGTGTGACTAAATGATATAAATTAATTCATTTTGTATCTATCAATTTCTAAAAGAAATTAACTACAATACTACTAAGAGTAATAGACCTATAAATTTTGGAGAATAATTGACCAGTATGAACAAACATTTCAATCACAACAACTATTTATAAAAGCTTTTTTCTTAAAAAAAGATGTATTTCAAGAGCATTAACATTGACTGATTAAGAAAATTCTATATTAGTATGGAGATTGTAATATTTTAACGGTTGAATTTACTAGTCAATCTAGACTAGTCAGTCAGTCAGCTACAACGTAGGAGCAGGCACATATATGCATCGGTCCAAGTTGCCATACCTCTTTAGCACATCAAGATGAACACCGGATTCATAGAAGCAATTAATTTAGTGGTGGTAGTATATAAAGAAAGATTGTATAGAAGGATATAGTATAGGAAGAAAAAAAGTTATGAAGCAATTTTAATCTCAAGGTTTAAGGGAAGATAAAGAGTGTATACACCTACGCCATTGTGATCGATTCTGAGCCATGTCACCTAGAGTCTCCAACCATTTATTACGATAGTCACGCGGACCCCAACCAGGTAGTCTGCATCTGCCAACATGGCTCAGGCTAGAAGTTAGTGACTTCAAACACTGATGCCATGTTTTGGTTTGGCCGCCCCTAACTCTCTTCCAACCGTCCCCAATACTAGTCATCATAGCGCGTCGTGGTAATCGGTGTTCAGGCATACGTAACACATGGCCCAACCATCTCAGTCGATGAAGATTCATGACCTCATCAACTGATTTACCATCGTTACCTAATACCCTGCGTCTAACCTCACTATTACTTACTCGGTGATCCCAGCAGATGCGAGCAATATTTCTAAGACATCTGTGGTCAAATACTAGTAACCTACGAGTATCTTCTACTCTTAATGGCCATGTTTCGCAGCCGTAAAGTAGAACAGAACGAACTGCTGCGCAGTATACTCGTCCCTTAATTGATAGACGGATATCTCGTCTTCGCCATAGGTGACGTAAGTTGGCAAAAGCCAAACGAGCTTTTTGAATCCGTGCTGAGATTTCGTCAGACACTAACCCATTAGGGCTGATCAGACTTCCAAGATAAGTGAAGTTGTCAACGCGGTCGACTACTTCACTCCCTATCCTTAGTTCGAGTGTTGACGCAGGCCAGTCCTGGAGTAACAATTTACATTTGGATGGGGAGAAACGCATCCCAAACATCCTGGCATTATTACTCAGTTCCAACAGAAGACTCTGCATTTTGTCAGCGTCTTCACCAAACAGGACTATGTCATCTGCGTATTCTAAGTCGCTTAGTGGTCCCCCTGGTAGGAGATCAATTCCTGTAAATTCAGTCGAAGAGAGTATTATTTCCAGCAACAGGTCTATAATGAAGTTAAACAAAAAGGGGGATAGTGGACAGCCTTGACGGACACCACTTGAGGTTGTAAAATCATATGACAGTTCGCCATAAGCTCTCACTCGACTGATAGTGTTCGAGTAAAGAGCCTTCACAAGGTTTATGTACTTCTCAGGTACACCTTTCAATGACAGACACTGCCACAGAACCTCTCGGTCTACAGAGTCAAATGCTGCTTTCAAGTCAAGAAAAACTATCATTGTCGGACGCCGATAAGCGTGTCTGTGCTCTAAAACTTGACGAATGGTGAATATGTGGTCGATACAGCCACGACCAGGTCTGAAGCCAGCCTGATTTTCTCGTGTTTGCAGTTCACGAGTTTTAGTTAGGCGCCTGATAATTATTGAGGCTAGTATTTTAGATACTATGTTAGTCAGACTAATCCCTCTATGGTTATCGCAGGATGATTTTGACCCCTTTTTATATATTGGGACAATCAGTGATTGTGACCAGTCGGATGGGATTACATCCGTCTCCCAGATTTTAGCCAGAATATTAGTCAACCTAATCGCTAAAATTGGACCACCATATTTAAAGTGCTCTGGAGCCAATCCATCAGGACCAGCTGCTCTTCCTCGTTTCAGATTACTTATAGCCTTTTGAACTTCAAGTAGGGTCGGGGGGCCTACTTCAATGTTCCATTCAGGTTTTCTAGGAATAGTGGGTAGTTGTGCAGTAGCTGAAGGCCAGCTAAACTGCTCCTTAAAGTGTTCCGCCCATCGTTCTAAACGTTTGGGTAGAGAGCAGATAAGGGTTCCATCTTTTTCCGAGATCGTCTCACTTACACTTGACTTCTTAATTCCAGTTTCTTTTATTAGTCTGAATAGTTGCCTGGTGTTGCCTACAGCCGCTGCCTTTTCCATCTCTTTTGCTTTCGTTGCCCACCACTGCTCACGATCGTTCCTTAGACTTTTAGTTAACCTATATCTAATTTCTTTACGCTCTTCGTCATGTTCAGAGCCTGATGGTATGAGTTTACGCGAATCCATCAGTGAAATAGACTTAGAAGAAATCCACTGGTTTTTTGGAGCCCTATGGTTTAAATGACTAATAGATGTTACTGCTGTCTCCACAGCTGTTCGTATGCCTTTCCAAGCAGCATCTGGGTCAGTCTCGTTTACAGAACTGCCTAGATGTGAACTCAGTTGTCTCTGGAATTCACATTTGGCTTTCTCGTCCTCCAGTTCAATCCTAACGGGTCTTCTTAGTTTACTTTTCCTGCGTCCTTTGAGGCGCAGACAAATGCGTGCTCGTATTAAAGCGTGATCAGAGTCTAAACAAGTATTCCAATACGAGCGACAATCTTCTATTGAGCCTCTCCAACGATGACTGATGACAATATGGTCTATTTGAGTCCATCGTTGGTTTGGTGCAGGTGGTCGCCATGTTAGACGATGTCTCTCCTTATGTTTAAAATTAGTGCTTGCCAAAAATAAACGATTGTCTGAGCATAGTTGCAACAGACGATCACCATTATCGGTTCGTTGAGCCGGAATACTAAAACACCCACCTAGATGTCTTTCTGTTTGATTTAAGCTGCCTACCTGGGCATTAAAGTCACCCGCTACGACTACTATGTCTGAGCGCTTAGCTTTTTGAAGAAGCTCAGAGAGCTTTCTGTAAAAGTCATCTTTCACCTCATCATGGCTGCAGTCAGTGGGAGCGTAGGCAGAAACGACGAAAAGGCAACGACGTGTGTCCCTATCCTTCCGAGTTCTTACGGAGCCATTTAGCCGGACAGCACACAGGCGACTGTTAACGGGGATCCATTCTAATAGTGCCTGTTCTGCCCTTGTACTTAGTGCTATACCTACACCTGCAAGTCGACGAGAACTAGCCAACGGGTTGCCAGATACACGGAGGGTGTATTTCGTTGGCTGTCCATTTTGGCGAGGTGAGGTCAAGTGAATGACCACACTAGGATCCTGTATGGGTGTTTCGGAGACACAGCATACATCAATGGTACGCGACTCTAAGGTTTTAGCTAAGGAGGCCTGTTGACCGATTTGACTTAAAGTACGTACGTTGAAGGCTCCAATGTGTAGTTTGGAGCGAGGTTTTAGTAGACCTGGGACAGCGTTTCGCGCACTAGAATCGTTGGCCATGGTGACACTTGAGGAGGAAACCGAGAGAGGAAGTTTAGTGTTGAAAGTCAAGGTAGCAGGAATTGAAGAAGGAGATTGATTATGAATACAGTGGTCTTGAGTGTTGTTAGAGGTATGAGGGCAGTTATCACTTCCCGGTTGCCCACACCGTGGAAGGATTCTTCTAGAGGTACCTGAAAAGGGAATTGGGTTAGAAGTGGTCTTAATGACCGGAGAGCGTGACCGCAGTGCCCAAGGGACAACTGCTTGAGGTCGGTCACACACGACCTTTTTGTGGGTAGTTTTTGTGTTAGCTCCGTTCTTCAAAAAAAACCTTACCGCCGGAGACGGATATCCGTGGGATAAGGCGAGGTGTGCATTTTTAGGGTCGACCTTTTCTAACCCCACCCCTCCTTGTGGGAAGGCAGCATCGCTGTCATGCTGGTTGTCTGAAGGAAACACCTTACTGCTGTCACACCTCTGTACAGTCAGCAGTACGACTTCGCCTTCGGACCTTGGGTTTGCTGCTTTTAGTCTCACCGCTCTTCAATCGACCTGTCTGGCATGGTAGGACCTCGAGGAACGATTGTTCCAGCCAGCATAGCTCGATTGGATCATCACGATAGGCAAGCCCGACCACCACGTCAAGGTAGCAGCAACGGTCGGGAATCTAGACTAGACCACCATTAAAAACCTGGAAGCACTGGATGGACGTTTTGTTCGAGTATGGGACTCTTCAGCAGTGCAGATCCCCAACCCTGCACACCGGACACGAGCCAACGACCTTTGGTCTCGCGCGGGGAATCGTTGGTGCGAATGGCTGAAGAGTCCCATACTCGAACGAAACGTCCGTCCAGTGTTTCCATGTTTTTAATGGTGGTCTAGCTTAGATTGGCTAGTAAATTCAACTGTTCAAATTTCAAAGTTGTTTAAAGTAATTGAGAAAGCAGATAAGATCTAATTTCTGATATTATTCAATAAGATGGCTGTTATCAAAAATTCTGTAAACTGATTGTATCAATTCATTAAAAATCTATTCAGCAGTTTTGCAATGTTTTTTTTTGGTTATTATGACATTTGTTGTTTATTTGAAATTTAATTAAATAACATCATCCAACAGTAAAAATTAGTGTAATTCGGAATAAGAAATCGATTTGCAACTTCTTCACATAGACACACACACAAATAAATAAAATGATCATTTGCTAAACATGAAGGTTTTTTGAGAAAAAGAAAAAAAACCCTTAACCCTTGATGTGAAACAAATTAATCGATTTGGCCAAAAAAACAGTTGACAACAATGAAAACACTTTTATTGTATGCTGATAAAAATAAGTTAGACATTAACACCGTTGGATGCCAGCTCAGTGGTCTATCGGTTAAGGTCTCTGGCTTGAGACTGGTAGGTCCTGGGTTCGAATCTCGCGAGTGCGGGTACGTGGATGCGCACTGCTGAGGAGTCCCATAATAGGACGAAACGGCCGTCCAGTGTTTCCAGGTTTTCTGTGGTGGTCTAGCTTCAATTGACTCATGCTTTCAACTATGAAACATACTAAATCTCCATAAAACCCCTTCTGATAATAAAAATATGCACACTGCATATTTTGCACTTACAATATCATATTCTTAATGGGTTTTTTAATTTATTATCTTGTATAAATAGGTCCAACTTTTACAAAGCTTATGTAACTGATTATGTAATATTTCCATTTCTAAAATATGTTTATTTATATTTGAGTAAACACACAATTGTCATAGATATTTTAAAATCTAATTAATAATTATGAGAGTAAACATTCGAAAATTATTTAATTGATTAAATTCTTATAACATTTGAAGGTTACTTTGTTTCTATGTTAACTAGTCTATCAAACTGAAAGATTTATATGATGTGCAAAAGCTATTCAATATCGATATGGTTTATACATGAAGACTGTGTACACTTAACAATCAAGACCAAACTGATAGACGAAAAAAAAACAGTATCCTTTGTTTGATCATAGCTCAGTTAGATAAATCTTATCAAGTAGAATTTATATAAACACTAGAACAGAATGGATTAAATATCCGTCTATACAGAAATGTTTCAAATGATCTTGAGAACATTATATTCTTAAAATATATGTATATTAATGTAACTCAGTGGTCTGAAGGTTGAGAGCCTCCTATCAAGCTCAACTGTTCTTGGTTTGATGGCCAGTAGTTTTGTGGGTGGGAACTACGACAAAACAGTTGTTCAATGTATTATAGTTTTCAGTGATTGTCTAACCAAGTTCACTCCATGATGTGACATTTCAAATATATTGAAATTCCTAGTCAATCGATTATTGGTTTCGAATTTTTTCAGAAACTAATCGATTAGGGATTGAAGTTACATTTAGTGTCTAAATCCTCAGTTCAACCATCTTATCTATTTCAACATATTGCCTAATCAAATGATTTCTTATAACACTACGTTTATACCATTTGAAACTCTTGAGTTTTAAAGTTTTTCGGCCAATATCAGTTTTCTGAAAAGAGAAAGATTTCCAAGTTGACATAATCTCCACAAAATATTGGGTTAAAGAACAGAATACATAAATTTAAATAAATTAAGACTATTCAGCAAAGAAAGATTTCCTATTGATTACATTATTTATTATAGCTGTACAATTATATTTATATTTAATTGGGAAAATGTGAATTCAAGGATAATAATACTTAGAAGTATAAGAGACCTATCATTATCACTATTATTATTATTGTTATCGTTAGTTTACAAGACTAAGGCACAACGAACACATTGGGTATACTACTTTTCAAAACAAACAGATCAGGAGCGACGGGAAAGATTATCAATGGGCAAGTTGCTATCAAACCATTCCACCTTTTCGACATTTGTGTTTATGCTAACATAAGATTACCTTTTGTATGCGAACGACAACTCTACAACTGATAGATTTATTTCGATTGTAGTATGTATACAGTCAATAATCCTGTACTGTAAAATTAATTCATCTGTTCATGTGTATTTAGCATAAATTTCATACCTTACATTGTAGCCAACTTTGTTATAAATGCTGAATTTAAACTGAGTTGAAAAATACACTTTTCCGGAAATTGTACACTCACATTGTTGTCACATAGTCATTTGTATTAATTGAAATAATTTGATGTTTCCTATAAAGACATCGTCTTTTGATGCCACTGAGGTAGTCACAAATATTGAACCTTTTACAAATTATCATTTAACAACTAGATACTTAGTAAAAAATCTATTGAAGATTTTTTTACAAAAGATTGATTCTCACTATTTGTTATATCCTGAAGAGAATTATGAATTGTACCTTTTGAGAACTATTTATGGAACATTATGATACATATATTCTTATTGTACAATTGTTGACTAACTAAACTATTCATATTCATGCCCCTCTTATTATAAGCTTTGGTTTGATCCATAGACTATTATTATACGATTTACCGTTATTGAGTTATCCCCAGTCTATCAATTACTACCCCCCTTATTCACAGTCACATTAGGTTAAATCTCGTACAAATGTTGTTTCCTATTTTATGGTACGATGTGGTCAGTTTGTTTGGTATATAAACCCAGTATGCTTGAGAATAATGATTCATATTTCAGTGGCTGTTATTGGTGTTCTGGACTTAATAGACTGGGCTAGGCGGGAAGCAAGACCGAAAAGGACTGTAGACTGCTCGTACGGGTTTTGTGTGTCATTGGTTTGGCTGATAAATCAGTGCTCTCTAATTGGCGGTATTATCACGTTATACATTGACAGGGTACAAGATATAACAATGGGCGACGAGGGTGGGATTCGAACTCACGAGGATATATAACACTATTGACTCAAAAGTACTTATATGAATGAGAAAAATGGGGCTTTTATGAAACCCAATAATTACTTTAAAAGAAATAGTGAAAGTTAGTTTTAGACAATAATTAACAAATTAAAGATATAAACTATAAGAAGAATATTATATATATATATATATATATATATATATATATATATATATATATATATAACATATTCAGAGTCGGTTATTTCATAGATGAGTATTGTGCTGTGGGGTGAATTATTTTGAAAATTTTCTAAACTTCTGTGTATACCAGAATGGCATACCGAAGATGAAGTAATATACATATAATAAACATGGTTCCACTCTACACACTGAGGATACCTACGACTGACTTTTAGTAACTAAGTCATAAAACCATTAGGATCACAAAATGGAATACTGTGCAAGACTGCTAACAACCAGCAATCATCCTGACAAGTTTTTTCCGAGCTACAGCTCAACTGAAAATTTAGTGACATAATAATCGAAAGAATGTTAATTGTCTTTCAATCAGTTATGATGTTTATAAATATAACTAAATTTGTAAAATTACCATGACTTGATAATATTATAGCTATTCATAAACAATGTAAGGACGTGGATAATTTTGTTTCAGAAGGTTACCACAGTTCCCTTCAGGACAGCACAAGCGGTGACATTAACAATATAACAAGTAAATAAGGTGAGATAATAATAATAACTGTAAATTTAATTATGATGGGTACACTAAACATAAACATAAGTACAGTTTATTAAGAACAGTTTGAAATATAATGCTACACAATTATGAACCAAAATAAAACTCAATGAGAATAACAACCTACTGGGAGTAATGCAATTGGGCCTGTTGGTAGAAACCTTTGCCAAGCGATAGACTCATTATTAGCCTGATGATATGAATATAAAAAGAGGATTAAAATTTATCAGTTAATTAGTCATATACATAACTGGAATAGATGTATAATATAAAAAACTTGAAACATGAACATTCTGTTTGGGCGCCCAGGCAGTATTCTAGCCCTTACACAAATCAAATAACAAAGTGTGGCGCACATATATTTGGCAATTCCTTGTACCAATATTTGTGTTTCAATAAATAAATCTTAGGATAACAATAATATTCATTCCGTGTAATTGACTTTAGAGGCACAAGTATGAAGAAATGCTAACTGGATATAGTCCATTTAATTAGTTTGAACCCATAACATGAAAATCTAGTACATAGATTATGCAGTCAAACATCTAGTTTTATGCAGGAAACAACATCAGAACCATTGAATTCTGCAAAATACATATATTACTTACCTTGAAATAATCATTAATCAAAAGTAAGTATATAATTTTACAAAAACCAACATCTAACTCTGAATATTGTAATAAAGACAATTGATAACCTATCAATATATATAGCCAAGTAAATACAAAGAAAGCTTCTTTACTTATCGTAAATTTAACGCAGTCAATAATGAGAGAGTTTACTTAGCAGGTTGGGGAGCCTTATTATTGATTTTCTGACTATAGTACTCCATTGATTAAAAATGTATGAGTTATATAGTGGGATTCAACCGAACGAATATATATGACTAGCAGAACACTTCTAGAGTAACATGCATTCTTAAATGCGATTAAATGCAATCTCGAAAAAATAAATACATCTCATAATAAAAATTTACCATATTATTAAATTATATCAATCGTACAACCATGGCATAAAAATCACGGTGACAGACACACTCTGATGACAGAATGTAATGAAAAAACACAGTAAAAAGAGCCATAAGATAAAAATGACTTCCTATTTAATAGATTAATATGTCAAATTTATTTAATTTGAAGGAATCTGAAATTGTATATTTTCTAACTCTGTATAGTTAGCCTTATTGCATAACTATTAAAAAATAATAAACTTTATTAGTTTGCTTTTACAATTTAAATGTAACCGGATCAATAATCATGTTGGTAGGCTAGAAAATAAAAACACGGTATACTTCAAAGCATCAAATGATAGAAAGGTACTGAATATGGAGATGGTCTGCAGAAAACTAAGGATTTGGGTTCTGCAATAGTTGGCACTTGTCAGAAGGCGATTATTGCGATTTTGAGGAAACGGATGCTCTCTGTCGGATTTGAACATGTCACCCAGTTATATAATCTGAAAATTCATTTCTAAGCTGTTTGGGTCACGACTGCATGAAATAGATTCGAATCCCATAGGGAGCAACAGTATCCTCAAGACTGAAGGTACCGCCTTGGCAACAAGCACCGACTAGCATAAAACAAATGTTCATGGTATCTTGACAACCACCCTACACATCGACATAGTGAATGCGATGTCGTGTCACTTAGACCAGTGATGATATTGTAACTTGGTGGACAGGATTAGATCAGCGTTGAGAGACTGAACAAACATGACAATGATCAATACTACTCAGTGGTCAGTCAATTATAGGTATTGAGTACATCTAAACTAATAAACAAAGAATATTACTGATTGAATATAAAAACCTAGGGAATAAGGAAATTAATTGAATTGGAAAATCAATGAACTTATAACATCGCTTCATCATTAGACAAAATTATGAAATCGTTAACAATGATGAATTATCAGATAGGATTTTTGGTTCCTTCATCCTTAAACAAAAAGTTATGATGATCCCATCGAAAATTTAAAAATCAAAGAAATATATATATATATATATATATTTGTTTATAATGGGCATCAACACCAAGGCTTACTCAAGATAACGATTGGATCTAATAATATTGATTAATATATATATATATATATATATATATATATATCAAATGCAACAGTAGTGTACACCATGGTCCATCCTCTGTGGGGGCGGCTCCCAGTGAACTCAAGGAAGCTCTGAAAGAGCCTAAGACATTCTATCATATCATCGTTTGGAGGAATATTCCAGGATCTCGGTATGTAGCTTCCTGAATAGGCAAATGCTAAAAACTGATATCTGTGAATTGGATGTTTGTAATGATGATTTTTTTTACTAAAAACTATAAATGCCCGAGTGTTTTATATCATATTTGATACTGGTTGGAATAAGATTTCTTTCCATTCGTATTCTGCCTTCTAACTTGCGACCTGGAGGGTTCGAGTGTTCAAGTTGTACGCGGTAGAGAAAAATTCAAGTTCTAGATATAACATCCTCTAATATAAAAGCAAACAATTTTCTGTGTTATAACTAATCTCACTATTTAATTCAATTTGAAATGGATTACATTATCCTGTTGTTGATATTTGATATCTCATACTCGTTGCATAGGTGAGTGGCTATCTGGATTCAGTAGCTAAGTGGATGATGTTTGGAGCAAACAGTACTGGGTTTGAGTCTCGAAATGAAAATCAACTCTGGGATGGAGGTGTATACAGCTAACGAGTCCCAAATGGGACGAAATGAGCATCCTAGATTCCAGTGCTAGCCTCATTCCATCTATTCTGCATTAATTTCACAACTATTTATTCATGTATTTATTGCTGCATCATATTAGAAATACTAAATACATTAAACCTCAATGTACAATTTCCCGGTTCATTAGTATAAATTCATTTTATCCGTTTCACTAATCACAAAAATTTACCTGTTCCAATTTTAAAGTTGCTACAATTGCTTTTTGATTATGATTCCAACCAATTGTATGAATATTAGCTGTTTTACGGACAAGTGAATTGAACCCATCAGCACCAACCTACGATTGAAACACATAAAACCAAATATTATTATTTATGAATTAATCAAAACAAAAATTCATCAATTTGTTTTTTTAAGACATAAAATGTAGTGTAGACGTCCCCTAATTGTTTTAGTAGAAGTAACTGTTTATCTATAATTATTAAATTCACTGTTTGAAGTATTTAAGTATTGTTTCTTGTGATAATTGTTACATTTAACATAAAACAACAATTATTTTCAAATACTTACAATTCATAAAATTGGTTATTTTCCAAGTTGAGATAATGAGTCAATTGAAGCTAGAGCACCATCGAAAACCTGGAAGCACTGGTCAGCCGTTTCGTCCCATCGTGGGACTCATCAGCAGTGCGCATCCACGACCTCGCCTCGCGAGACTTTTGGCTCCTGGGTTCGAGTCTCACAAGGCGAGGTCGTGGATGTGCACTGCTGATGAGTCCCACGATAGGACGAAACGGCTGACCAGTGCTTCCAGGTTTTCGATGTTGGTCTAGCTTCAATTGACTCATTATCTCAACTATATAAAATTACTAAAATCTTTACAAAACCCCATTCTGATATTTTCTAGGTATCAAAGCTGTGATAATAAAGATTGTTTGATATTTTAAAATCCAATAAGTCAATCAAGAACGAAAGTATATAAGCCTATCAACAAGGTTTATTTAAATAAATGAGACGTTTACACTAAAATGTATAAATAAAGTTCAGGAAAGTGTTTGTTAAAACAAATTAATAGTGACGGTTAGAACTTTGTTTGATTTAAGAGGGACTAGTGGATTAGAATAGATGAAGCACATAAACCAATATTGACAGTGAATTCTGACACAGTATCGTGTTTGTGTATGAAATAAACGAAGGTACAAACAAAGGGTTAGGGAAAGGTAAGCTTGAGAGCCTACTATGTATATTTCGTATGCTGTGACAAAAGCATTCAAATTGATTTATCAGGATATCCTGTCGTTTCTTTAAAAAATAAACCAGAAGTTTTAAAAGCTAGGTGAGAAGTCTAATGTGGTAAATATATAACCCTGTAAACAGGACAATACAATATCCACAAGAATGCACACAGAAAATGTATATGAAATGCATATATTATTCTAGCACATTTTGTAAAAAAACATAAACGATCTAAAAGACTGTCGTCTGTGCCTTTTTATATCTTGGAGATTTTACACTTTCATGATCTATGTCTGAAGTATATCATATTAGAAAATATGACCAGAAAATGAATTGATCTCAAAGTACTGGATAAAAGAACATCACTGTCATATTGAACTTAATGATGACAATATAGATTTCAACGATGTCAAGTGATATGAATAGAATATTAAAAGTTAAATGAAAACTTATGAAACTTTGAAACCGCCTACAGATCAATACTATAAATTACCATGAAAATTGAGAAACGGTAGAACTACTCGAATAATAAAATAAATTTCTTGAAGTGGATTTCAAACATCGAACTGTTTATTTTAAATTCAGGTTCCTATAATAACATGGCATAACTTCGATATGTAAATTACTGCATCAAGTTCAAATTACAAACCAAGGTTATGATCTATATTTTAGAAAGAGTAGCGTTTATGAACTATGAATCTTCTATTTTGCAGATTAGCGCTCATAACAAAATGTTGAGCTCATTAAAAATCAAACATGTAATTTAAAAAGTGTTTAAGTTTGTATGGGCAGTTACGTAATCACCTCCTGGATCATTCTACGGAAGAGATTTGATACAAAATTGAAGTATGAAAACTTTCAAGGATGGGTTTCTTGTGTTAATACAAGTTGTATTTATTCAGATCAACTACTAAAAACACTGAATATAGGAGAAAACATGAATTTATTTTGCAATTATATTTCAGAAATAATGCCGATTTCTGGATTTGAACAAAATAATCGAATTAAGTAAATGATTACTTTTAGGAATTAGTGATAGTTATTTTAGACATATATAATACAATAATGTAGATACCAGGTACGAATCCACATTAGTTAAAAGTAATAAGTCAACTTGTGCTTAAGTCGAATATTATTTTCTTGTTTAATAATATTACTCAAAAAGCCTTCAGATTTTACTTGAGTAACCATTCAACGATTTAGTTATATTTTGAGCAGATTGTAGCAGCCTTGGTTGGCTGGTCGACAAGTTGTCTTTTGGATGAATGTCATATGGTTATTTGGCGTTTCTTCATCTACCCTGAACATCTGGATGGTGAGACTTTTAAAAAATATTAAAATTACTAGCATACTGAACAGCAGCCCGCTGTGGCAAATTACATCTGGTAGAATTGGTCATTAAAAGCAGATGTATTTATTATACGAATTTGATAACAAGTTTTCAAAGTACTCGTACGTAGTGAAACCAATAAGTGAAAGACAGCAAGGTTAGGTTCAGATGTTCTAGGGAATGAAAATGGGTTGTGAATCCACACCTATTGAAGTACCGAATCAACGTCTGAACTAACAATCAATACTAGTTAATGTAGAATCACAATGGGAAAGATCTTGAAGTATTTATATAAAGATGTCGCAACAGTCTGTTAGATATTTGACCAGCAATACGAGTCACATACCGGAATATAGACTTCCATAGTGGGATCCTCAGAGTAACAAAGTTCAATAGCTAGATATCCCGAACGACATCGCTAAAGACGGATCATAATGAAGATATATGTTATATCCAATGGGTGCGTACCCTGTTTAGTATATGAAGTGTTGTTTCCTGCCAACCAGAGAGAAGTGGATTATCGATCAGAGCAATGATACACGAAAACCGAATTAGCAGTCTTGAGCACTTATCAGTCCTGCTTTCTGCCTAGTCCAGCCAGTTAAGTACGGAACACTAATAACAGCCACTGCAATATAAATCATTATTCTCAAACATACTGGGTTTATATACCAAAAGAACTGACCACATCGTACCATAAAATAGATTTAGCCAAATGTGGCTGTGAATGGGGGGTACAGTAATTAATGGACTAGGGATAACCCAAGAATGGTAAATCGTACAGTATTAGTCTATGGGTCAAAATAAAAATTATAATAAGAGGGATATGAATATGAATAGTTTAGTTACTTAACAATTATACAATAGGAAATAAACATATCATATTGGTCCATAAATAGTTCTCTAATTTCATAAATCTCCACGGGATATAACAATGTATTTTTTGTGTATTAGTCCGCAATTTACCTAGTCTCTTAAGATTCACTTTGAATTAGTAGCATCTTCAAGAGTCCTTATTTCGAACTGGAAAATATGCAAATTATTAAATTTACCATTTGTAACTTATTTCGGTATCCTGACATACATTTTTGTTGTTTATCTTCGAATGCGTAGATTTTTATAGTTATTAGGCACACTAGGAATATTTATTCTTACTCCATGAATATTGTAAGGAATTAAAAAGGATATATTTAGAGTACTAATTTTGGAATTAATTTTATACACAAATAATACTGTTCCTCTAGAAAGTCAATGAATAAGCAACATACAAGTAGATCTGTTTCAACAGTTTCCCGTTTATTCTGTGTCCTTTGTTGAACGTCTAATCGAACTAAATGTTCTGGTTGGTCTCGAGAAGGTAGTTGAATGTTTTCAGCTTGTGCTTCATATACTATTGTCACATTTGAAGAATTACTAATCGATTCCAGATGATTACGAAGTGACTCAATAACCAAATCATTTTCTACTATATATGCCAAGGGATCACGTTGAAATGTTAAGTAAAGGTTTGACTTTGTTTCCCATACCTAGATGTATGTACCAAATGAATAAGTATATGATAATCAATCGTCTAAAATGAGACAAAATTAATAGTAAGAGTTGATAGATTATGTAAATTATGTGAACTTCGGTCTTTTAGAATGACAAACAAGATGGCTCATGATAGAAATTGCTGAAGTCACGTAGATTCCGTACGTTAATTAGAAACTGTTCAACTTAGTCTAATAATATAAAGACACGATAAAAAAAAGTCTAATCATCTTTCTAAAGAACGGGGCTGATGGAATTTGGTAGTTTAGAAGATAAGGCCCAATAGTTTGAAATACTAAGCGTTTATTTCAAGTTCATATGAAAGATATTTACAAGTAAAAGATGGACGAGAGTCTCCTACGAAAATTGACAACCATTGATTGATAAAAGATACGCGTCAAATATTTGGGAAGAATGAGCTGCCCATATATTTGAATTGCTACAACAGGTCAGTTTTAATTACTATTTGTCAACATGTCAGGTGAAAATATGTAGTTAAGGTAAGGCATGGGAGAAGTCAGAATTTTTCGCTTGCCTAGATTTACTATGTACGTACCTTTTGAATAGAGCACACGGATAAGAATAACTCAGTATTCCTTACTGTTTTCCATAAAAATCAATAACATCTAAGTATGCAAATATTCGAGTTCCAATTATGCTAACAATCCCCTGCTTAACAGTTATGATAAATATTGTATTTGGGAGTCGGTGTTGAAGACGCAGGATGAGCACTGTTAACAAAAGACGGCTTCAACCAATAAAACCACTGAATGTTCACCTAATTCATGGAGATGCATAGTGCACCTGGTTAGGGTCTGTAAAATAACTCCGATAGATGGTAAGAGACTTTAGGTAGCATGTGTCATATTTGGTACCACTAAAGTAGAGAGATTTCTCTTTGGATCTTCATGCAAAACTTGGAAACCAGCCACGATCTATCTAACTTTATCGAATTATAACACTTTATTAAAACTTTCTTTTATTTTTGTTAACTTATTTGCGAGGTACATATTAGATTAATTAGCTTCCAGTCACAGACTAATCGTTAGGACTAGTTGCCTAAACTGAAGCAGGTGGAGCAGAGTTTGAATCTACGACTTAGTAGCTAAAGGTCGAAAGCCCTAACCACTAAGTCACACACTTACTTTTAGTCGGGCTGAGAGCATATTATCTCGAGTCCGTCAAATTCAGATCACCTAGTGGATCCAGACGAGATGAACGCGTAAAGAACGCTCATGAGGTTTCTAGACTACTTTGTAATAGACACACAGGGTGACATTTGAGTAGTCATCTGTTTCTTAATATTCAAATGAATTTTACGAAAGATATTGGACATGCTATAGTAGAAGAAGGAATCTATATTTATTGTGAGAAGTTATTAAGGATTTAAATAATACTTATGCATAGCCTTCAATCATCTATGTGCATATTTCAGTGTGTTCCGCAATCTAAACTGTCCTCTCGTCTTGTCTTCAAGTATTCTGCCTAAGCTGTGCTTTAGCTGTACTGAAAATCTCCTCATCTGACGACTGTTTCAACGTCAACACCAGGTACCACTACATACTAATTACGAACAATCTTGTGAGCAGAACCCACTACACTATAACTACATGTACTCACTGCCTTCTCGTGGCGGGTGCTGTTTACGAAATTGAGAGGACAAAAAGCGAATGTCCGGCGCTTTAACAGGGTTGATGGACACGGAAAGTCCACCTAGGGGAGTTGGAAAACCCTGATTCCAAACCAATGGTGCACATGGGCTCCAGAATCTTGAGCGAACAAATAACGTATGAATAAATCGTTGGTCATGGGCTACCATGGGACTGCATCTCCTCACGATGCTCCACTGCCTTGTGGATCAGATCTTTAGGTCAAAGGCTCCAGGTGTGGCCCCCCAAAAAAACCACCTGCTTCAGTTTGGACACCTGGGCAGTATGACAGCGCTCACACAAATCAAATGCGATTTGTGCGGCGCATATGTATCTGGTGCTTCCTTGTACCAATATTTATGTGTTTAAATAATAAATAAACATATACCACGTGCAAAGAAGAAAATCAGTTGTAATTTTGCTAATCTATTTAAGTTGATCCTCCTTTAGACTTGAATTCTAAGTGAATCCGTGAGCCTACTTTTTAAAACCCAAAGTGTTGACAAGCCATTGGACTCCAACTTCGTTTTTTATTGCGAAAAAACTGTGCGTGAACGGTGTGAAAGATTCTGGATACAGAATTTGATTCTTGTCATAATCACGAATATTTAGGAAGATGTTCTTATTTAATCACGGAGAGAATGCTTTGAAGTGTAGATTTTATCGTTTATAAACCTCACTTAGTCTGATAAAATAAAACCGTTCAAGAGCCAAAAAATATTATGGTAGAAAACTGTGATAATTCACATACTTTCATTTTATTTACAGGCTGAGAACGGAATGACTGAATAAATTCCCAAACACCAATATCTAAAAGGAGTACGGTTACGCGAATGCTGAGGCTTGTATATAAAATGTACTTTTCAGCATGTTTACCGAAAGGTCGTTAAGAGCAACAACACGATTTTCATATTCTTCTTTACGTTGATACGTTTTTTTACCAGAACTTTCTAGTAATAAAATATTTTTCTTGCCGAGAAATTTGGAGGCCGCTACATAATACAAATAATATCAATGACGAAATACCCTGATTTACCTGCAACGGCAGCCAAACCAAATCCAACCATCCCACCACCGACAATTACTATATCGTACCTCGGAAGCAGTTTCTTGGCATTGTAATTACGGAAACTCGTAGTGAGGAATTTATGATAGTTGAGGAACATCATTGATTGAATAGCTGGATACGTACAACATGATAAAAACAAATAATTAGTTATGACAAAGTCAGTGAACTGAGATGACAGGAAAAAACCAAATCACACAAAAGTAAAAAATTCTGTTTCTTAAATAATTTTGGTTATTAGGAATAGAAATTGAGCAAATGGAGTGTGGTAAACGGATAGAGAAGAGTTCCGTATGCATATTTTCACTACTTTTTACTTACCAAACTGATATATGAAATAATGATAAGATCAGTGGATAAAACAGAATATTGTAGAGAGTTTACATCTGACTGACGATTGGTAAATGATCAACGTCAGAGGAAAATCAATTTAGGTTGATTAATAACTTTTCCTGTCACAACTTAAATACTCGGGTTTTATGGTTGAATTCCATCATGCTAATACTAATAGATAAGTGCAGGTCATTTATTTAGTTCACAATCAATTTCAAGATGTTCCCATGCCTAGATGAATTTTTTCTACCGTGATATCAATGACAAAGCATAAAATCAGTTAATATAGCCACTGACTATTAGTCTGACGTGCGTAGAAGGATATAATGCTTTGATGTCGGGTGGGCTCCGTGGAGCTCGTTTACTCAAGAGTTCCTCAAAGTATTCTACCCATCTGTTCCTCTCTTCTTGAATTCCAGTGATTGGCTTTCTTTACTTGTATTTGACCGGTCTCTCTGGCTTACTACAATTCCATGCCATTTTCTTCGTTTTGTCATACAGTTATTTCATATTTCGTTTTCTTGCAGCTTTTTCCGCTGTTGTTGCTAGATCTCCCACATATTTCAGTTTTTAAAATCTCATGTTCTTCTTCACTTGCTTGTTTGCTTTTGTGTATTCAGCTTGCGCCTTGACTTCCTCTGCTCTTGTCAAACTATTGTTAATTGCTGGCTCCCTGTTCTTTCGTCCTTGGATCTTGTCCAGAATTTTGATAGAGGTCTATTCCTAACGATGATGCTTCTTGTGGCACAGAACCTCCTGACACGTTAAAGTTAATGCTTCTTTGATCCTTTGCCAATCGACCTCTATATTGATTTTCCCTTTTTTGAGTAGATCTCGTAAGGCTCGGGACCTGTTGTTGAGTTTGTCAGTATGTCGAAGTAAGGCCGTATTGAACCTTTGTACTGCTGTTTCCCCAGATGTCCAGTGTTTTTCTGCTGCATTTTAATCTTCGCCACAACCAAGTGACGATGTCAAGCTATGACAGCTCTTCTTTTAGTTCTCACGTCTTCCATTGTCCTTTTGAATTTTTCATTGATACAAATATGATCTATTTGGTTCTCCGTGGTGTGATCCATGTAGCTTTGTGGGAGAATACTGTTCGCCTATAACCATTTTTTAATAATGGACAAGGAGGCTCACTTATTGACTTAGAATACGCCGACGACTGATATAGCATCCGATCATCATTTGCTGATCGCCAAGATGAAACTAAAACTCAAGAAGCACTGGACAACGGCGCGGACAACATCACAAAAGTTTAACACGGCCTTTCTTCGAGATGCTGACAAACTCAACAAATTCAACATAACCCTCAGCAACAGGTTCCAGGCCTTTCATGATCTACTCAATGGAGAGGGAACTACCATGGAGAGCAACTCGAAAGGTATCAAGGAGGCAATCGTTTCAACATGTCAGGAGGTTCTGGGCCAAAAGAAGCACCATCACAAGGAATGGATTACTGTTGGTACAATGGATAAAATTGAAGAAAGGAGGAACAAGAAGGTAGCAATCAATATCAGCCGAACAAGAGCGGAAAAAGCCAAGGCACAAGCCGAATACACAGAGGCAAACAAGCAAGTGAAGAGGAGCATCAGAACCGACAAACGTAAATATGTGGAAGATTTAGCGATAACAGCGGAAAAGGCTGCAAGAGAGGGAAACAAGAGACAACTGTATGATACAACAAAGAAACTTGCTGGAAATTACCGTAAGCCAGAAAGACCAGTGAAAAGCAAGGAAGGCAAAGTAATCACCGACATTGAAGAACAACGAAACAGGTGGATAGAACACTTCAAAGAACTCTTGAATCGACCAGCTCCACTGAACCCACCCAACATCGAAGCAGCACCCACAGACCTCCCAATCGATGTTGGCCCACCAACAATTGAAGAGATCAGCATGGCCATTAGACAAATCAAGAGCGGCAAAGCAACGGGACCAGACAACATCCCGGCGGAGGCACTGGAAGCAAATGTAGCAGCAACTGCCAATATACTCCACATCCTCTTCAGTAAGATTTGGGACGAAGAACAAGTACCAACAGACTGGAAAAAAAGACTTCTGATCAAGATACCAAAGAAAGGCGATCTTAGCAAGTGCGACAACTACAGGGGCATCACTCTCCTCATAATACCAGGAAAAGTCTTCAACAGAGTATTGTTAAACAGGATGAAGGATTCTGTGGACGCCCAATTTCGAGATCAACAAGCTGGATTTCGTAAGGATAAATCGTGCACAGATCAAATCGCAACTCTACGTATCATTGTGGAACAATCAATCGAATGGAATTCATCACTCTACATCAACTTCATCGACTACGAGAAGGCATTTGATAGCGTGGACAGGACGACACTATGGAAGCTTCTTCGACACTACGGCGTGCCTGAGAAGATAGTCAATATCATACGGAACTCCTATGATGGACTAAACCACCAAATCGTCCACGGAGGACAACTCACCGACTCGTTCGAAGTAAAGACCGGTGTTAGGCAAGGTTGCTTATTCTCACTCTTTCTCTTTCTCCTGGTCATCGACTGGATCATGAAGACGTCAACATCTGGAGGAAAGCACGGAATACAGTGGACAGGCAGGACGCAGCTTGACGATTTAGACTTCGCGGATGATCTGGCTCTTATATCACAAACGCAACAACAAATGCAGGAGAAAACGACCAGTGTAGCAGCAGTAGGTCTCAATATAAACAAAGGAAAAGCAAGACTCTCCGATACAATACAATATGCACCAATCAAATTACACTTGATAGAGAAACTTTGGATACCTTTACATACCTGGGCAGCATCATTGATGAACACGGTGGATCAGATGCAGATGTGAGGGCGCGGATCGGCAAAGCAAGAGCAGCATACTTACAATTGAAAAACATCTGGAGCTCAAAACAATTGTCAACCAACACCAAGGTTAGAATTTTCAATACAAATGTCAAGACAGTTCTTCTGTATGGGGCGGAGACGTGGAGAACTACGAAAGCCATTATACAGAAGATACGAGTGTTTATTAACAGCTGTCTACGCAAGATACTTCGGATCCGATGGTCAGACACTATCAGCAACAAGTTACTGTAGAAGACAACAAACCAAATTCCAGCAGAGGAAGAAATCAGGGGGAAGCGCTGGAAGTGGATTGGGCATACTATGAGGAAATCACCCAATCGTCACAAGACAGGCCCTCACATGAAATCCTGAAGGCCAAAGAACACATTACGCCGAGAAATAGAGACAGACATGAGAAGAATGAACGAGAACTGGATAGAACTAGAATAGAAGGCCCAGGACAGAGTGGGTAGGAGAAAGGTGGTCGGTGGCCTATGCTTCATTGGGAGTAACAGGCGAAAGTAAGTAATAGTTCTATTTGGTGAAGACGCTGACAAAATGCAGAGTCTTCTGACCACTATAAGCAACTACGCACGCATGTTCGGGATGCCATTCTCCCTCCAAAATGCAAAATTTTTCTTCAGGATTGGTGTTAGTGGGATATAGATTGGATTAAGCATGTTTTATGCATGTTGGTGTCGCTGCGCGCTGATTGGTTAATTTTTAAACCGATCAGCCCGGGCATATTATTACAGAAAAATCTATAAGCTTCTTATGTATATACTATAAATATATGAACATTATTTAAACTATTGATTGCTGTTCACATACCATTGTTATTTCGAATACAATTTCATTCCTGTTCAACGTGTTCTGATTTTGGGGTCTTGTCGAGTGTCATCGTATAAGAATACTAAGCAATAGGAATAGCTGGGTCGTTTATATAGCAAAAATACAATTATAACAATTGGGTTGCATCGACACCTGAACTGATGATAGGGAGTGAAGTAGTTGAGCATTTCGACCGCTTCACTTATCTTGGGAGTTTCATCAAGCCTTGTTGTCTGGTGTGTGGCGATATCTCAGCACGGATACAGAAGGTTCGTCTAGCTTTCGCCAACTTGCGTCATTTATGGCGTAGGCGAGATATCCGCCTACCAAACAAAGGACAGGTTTAATACGCAACAGTTTGTTCCGTCCTACTTTATGGCAGTGAAACATGGCCGGTAAGGATAGAGGATATTCGTAGACTACTAGTATTCGATCATAGGTGTCTTCAAAGCATTGCTCGTATATCCTGGGACCATCGAGTAAGTAATGTAGTTGTTAGGAGACGGGTACTAGGTAAAGATAGCAAATCGATTGATGAAGTAGTGAAACTTCATTAGTTGAGATGGCGGGGACACGTTTTACGTATGCCCAACAACCGACTGCCTCGACGCGCAATGTTTTATGGCGTAGAAGTAGGTTGGAAGAAAGCTAGGGGTGACTAGAGCAAAACGTGGCACAAATCCATGAAGTCGCTGACAAGTGAACTGAGTCATATTGGTAGGTGTAGACTACCTGGTTGGGATCCACGAGGTGATAGCAATCGATGGTTAGAGACCTTGAATGACATGGCTCAAAATCGTTTTTAATGGTGAAGGTGCATCCACTCTTCGTGTTCTTTCAAATTCTAATCTTCTGAATTCTTCATGTTCCTTACTTTTTTTCTTCCCAAACTTATTTCACTGGATTATACTCCTTGAATAAAATCTTCAAACCGTAATCTTTCGGATTACTGCTTATACTCCTACTACCTCTACCACTATGGGATTTGAATCGACAACTGCATCTCTGTGCTAATGTGGTATGGCAATTCGAACTGATGTACGTACGTACGAAGTTCTAATTTGTGACTGACTGCTACAAAGGCATAAAAACACTCCACCATACAATTATGTAAAACGAACATGATTTTCAATTTTTTTACTCGGTTGTCGAGTATTTTGATATAAGCGATTTACATTTGACTAAATACACAACACAATATGCCAACTGCTTATACTATGAGCCAGCATTAAATGAAGACATGGCGTTAAAAGCAACAAGGATGTCGCTATCAGGGAAATCTGATTATTTTACGCTCACGGTCAAGTACTTTAGCTAGTTTCAATCTATCGTTAAAAGTGAAGTGCTGGTTTGTTACTGATAACCTTAAGTAAATAAATGACACAGTCAACAATCACGTGTAAAAAGCGAGTACGTAAAGTCAAACGCCCAAACATGGGACTAGATGTTGCTTGCTTTCCTGGCCCCTACTTTGACTGCTCAAAAGTTTACATAAAGTTCGGGGCTGTGTGATTGCTAGCAAGACAAAATAGACACACCATTCAATACTTTAGGAATTTTCGAAGGGAAATAAAGGATATTTGATGGGCAGACATTTTACATTGAAGTTATGACAAGTAATGCAGAAAATGTGTCTAACATGGAACATGATGTAGCAGCTTCGCGTAGTATACTGTGAAGTTTGAAGCATTTAAAGTTTTGGTTGTATGCACCATGAGTGAATGAGAATACTGATTCATTAAGTTGTTGATTCGCTTGTGATTGGCATTCGGATTCAAACTTCATTTGTTCAAGTATAATTTCTGACCACATCATGTCAGTCTTTTATTGTTGCGAACCGATACCGTTGCTTAATCGATGTCTAGGTAAAGGCATACGTACGTGTGGAGGTTATATAATTACTCTCGAAGCCAGAAATGCAAAAAGCCAAAACCCAACGATGAATATCGTTTATGAGAATCGAGATATCAACAAATCGACGAGAATTATTATTCGTTATTTGTGGTGAAAAGTAATTCGATAATGACTCATTCTCCCAAATTGTGAGTTTCCCCCAAAGTCCAATGACAATTTGTAGTTTTGCGAAATCAACAAAATTCTGGGAAGCAATGAAGATTTCCTACCAACAAGTCCGAGAATTTTGAATACCTGAGGAAATTTCAGGAGTTTTTATTCCTTTAAACCTTCCTCAAAGATTTTCTGACGGCTTACCCAAAATGGACAAAATTCTACTTAAAAAAGGGAGATATCTCCCTATAGGGAGATAAGTTGAGGTATCCTAAAACAGACTGAAACTACAGCCAAAAACGTCCACGTGTGTGTAACCTTTTATGTATTTGTGTTGAAAAATTCATACTGAAATAAACATATAAATTTGAATAAGACCACTAATAAAGTTTAGGATCTGTAAGTTTTCACTATTCAAGGTAACCCCAACTTCTCATGAATTATAAGAAGGTTCATACGTACTGAGTTACTGGGAGCGATAATATTACACATTTCTACAACTAGAACAATATAGCTGGGTACACGAAATAAATTAACCTTGAAGCACCGTCCCATTCCAAACACTCCGCCTCGAAAAGTTCAAAGAGTTTAAATGGGTCTGAACAGCATAGAAAAAGCCTTCGCTTGTCGTACTTCCGTGTTTAGTAGCCGTGGATCACTCATGCTTTGAGGTAAGAACCTAGGCACATTAACGATAAAAGAATAAAAAGAAAAAGTTGGTAAATCATGGTAAGATACTGTGCTTAGTCCTTAAGAATATGTTGAGTTTTCTCTTAAATGAATAGTGGTCAGTCTTTTAGGCTAGCTCAGCCGGTGGCGAAGTCCAACATTGAACAACTCTTAAGGAGTGACAGGCGTACCTACAGTCCGTTCTGCTGTGTTGAGTCATTGATTGGAGGCTATCTTCATAACACTTGAATTCGGTTCCTCAAACTGATTTCGTAGCTCGCCGTTGGATACGTTCAAGAGTATCCTAATCCTTTTGAAGCGTGAGAGAAAGTACGATGTTTCTACACAGGTAACAGGAACGAGTAAAACTGCTGAAAATTGTGTGGAAAGTTCTTCCATCGAAATGGCGGAAAACGTGCTTCCACGTTACCAGGGCAGGATTTGTTCGGAAGACGTTTTTGTCACAGTTGGCGTAAAACTCTGGGTCGTAGGGTACCAACATCCCAAGATCTTTTTAACTTGGAATACTCCTATAGAGGAGTTACTTAAGTCGAAGTCGTAGCCCGCAACATGTCTCCGTTGGACTACTTTACACTTTGAAGTGTTAATGGTAAGTCCGTTATTGTCTGCTCAAGTTTGAAATTAACTCAGATCCTCCTGAAGTGCTGGTTTATCCTCTTGTTTTCAACCTCTTATCAGAGTTTCATGTGAGCGAAACGTGATAAATCCGACTATAAATGCTATGGAAGATCGTTTATATAAGTGAAGGAAAGAAGTGGTCCTAATACTGAACCCTGTGGAATTCCACTACAACATTCCGTAGCATGAGAGAAATCCATGTTAACAAAGACCTTAGAATGTTGATGTTTTAGATATAAGGCGAGTCAACCAATTAGAGATGATTTGATACCTGTGTAGAATCCAAACAAAGGTTTGGCTGAAGAACAACTGTTTCGGTAGTTTAGACGCTAACTATTACCACTTTGAAATCAGAGCAAGGTGATTGGGTAAATAACGGTTCTAAATTTAATCATAAATACAAATGTACATTATTACCGAAAGAAATATTACCGCTCAGTTATTTAACCAGTAATTGATCGCTCTGTAATTGATCTAAATTACGATAAATAAACAAGTTGATATAGAATGTAAGAAAATTACCGAACGCACCGAAATATAAGTTTTATTCTATCATTTCTGGATAAATAAAGTAAAAATCTGTTCAACAGATAACAATTTGTTGCTTTACAACACAAAGTGTTTCCGATTCCGGAAAAGTGTTTCAATTCACAATCAAAATTCATAATCCCAGCCAACTGAAGCAACATTGTCAAAGAGGCAACAATCAATATTGCTGCAGCCAAGATTAAGTATCAACTAAAACAACATTGATACAGTTCAGGAAGAAACCTAGAAAATCACTGTAGGCAAAAATAAAAATGGGAAGACTATGATGAAATAAAATAATATAATCTCAAACGTGACCTTTTCCGATAGCGGGCTCTTTCGATGAATGGAATTTTATGGATAGTATGTGGTCGTTTATATTATCGATTATCAGGGACTCCATGTATTTCTTCGACACGAAAATACTTGTTCATAGTTGAGAAATACAGTTCATCATTTAAGATCAGATATAATTAACGATCCTCAAAATGTGAATTGTAACGATCATGTAAATTGATTTCACGAGATAACGCTACATTTGTTTTACTGGGTTGGAATCCATTCCACATGTCCTAGAATAAACGCACATTGACGTCAAAAATAGTATGACATAATTGCTTCTTCTACATAGTTCAGTAGAACACTTTGGATTTGATAAATACATGGTGTTGAATGTAAAATATTGTCTCCTAGCTGATCGATTTCGCTTTTTGCAACATTTCAACTGCGAACAACCAAAAAATAATTCATCATTCATTATATTGCCGGATTTTGAAGCGACCCTAATAAAGATTACGTTCCAGTACATCATCTCTTGTACCGTTTTGGACGAACGACGATGACTGCTGAGCAGATCATAAGAACGATATATCTGTAGTACAGACTATTGATACCTAACTCTTGGACTCATTTGCTGCAGAAACTTTTCATTACGACTTTCGTAACTGCTTGTCACTGCCGAAACGAACATATTTAAGTCTTCTCTCTATATGAATTACTTAACCTGTAAATTTTCTAGACTGAAATAATCTATCACAAACTATCAGTACGATAAAATCTCTCCTATTGTTTATTCGCTTCATTGATACATACTGCTCTTCTGAAAATCCAATAAATTTTCTAACGTCTGTAAGTGTATCTTGCTCCACAAGTGAGATTATAGAAACTTTAAATGTTTAACCACTTACATGCTGTCAATTTATATTAACAATGACCTTAGCAACCGTAAGTTATTTGAATAATAACTAACAAGAACAGCGGTAAACCTAACCGATATATTTTGGCTATCACAGCTTTGTTGTTGTGCTCTCTGTTTTAACTTTACTTTCTCTAGTTGTAGATAATTATCAATAATTCGTCCTGGCACTGGAAATAACCTTAAAAAACACCGTTAATAGATCATCAGGCTATCTTTTTAAGAAAAAATTTAAGGTTCACTGCTGATGCGTTTGATCACCGTGATACATGTCATATGGAAATACTTAACGATTACTGAGCAAACTTAAAGCAATCTTATATCGCATATTTGTCCTCCACATCTAAAGTTGCTATTTATATCAGATAGATTATGCCTGCAAACTGGTGTGAATCATGTAATAATTATTTTTTTCAGAATATATATATTCTTATTAATGACAGAAGTTTGATTTAAAGAAAATCGGGGCTCAATCTGATGTGAAGACAATTATCGGTGTCATGTTAATCACCTCTAAACAGGTATTTGTTCAACTTGGGTTATAGACCATTTTGTCGAATGATCACCGAAAAACCTCTGGAATACTAAACATGCAAGTGTTCCTAGTACTTTCTACACGCTTCGGGTTGTCGTGAAAGTCTCTCTGATCAGTGACACCAAAATAAAAGTGAGTTGTTGGCCAGAGTATATGCGTCTCAATCATCACCATAAAAATTACTTCTAGTTACTCAGAGACAAAATTCGATTATCGGGAGACAATGTTAGGAAATGCTAACAAGTTTGATACCGGTAATATTCAGTGGCGTTGTATCCTAACCACAATCCTCAAAGCTGAACCATGATAACTTGGAAAATAGACTTTAAACATGTATCACTAGGAAAAGTTGATTAACGATGGACACAGTAACATTAATACAGTCGCAACTCAATTCATCGGACGGCATGGCACAGCCTTGTAGGTGTGGTCATTCTTTTGTGTAGTTCTATCGCTATTATTTATATGAAATATATTGTTCTCTTCCCAGCCTAAATGTGTTCTCCGTCATATATTGTCACGGTAAGATGCGTCAGTATCGACAATGATGTGACTTCCACGGAAGATCATATAGATTAGGTAGTCACATCATGACAAATCTACAATCTTAGGATTATATCCATCATAAGAGCAGTACTAATAAAGAACTAGACCATAATTCCACAAATACATAGCTGACCACACTGTGGTTTCATAAAATTTAAAATCTGTACTTACATTGTCATTTATGCCGTTGTCGATGCTTGAGATTTTCCATTTCAGTTTCTTTGATCTCGGATAGTCTACCATAAATGTCTTCTATAACAAAAGGGACTGTTGGGGTATCAAAGTTATTGGTCTTGTGCGTTTATACCGAAACTGCTTTCTGACTTTCAATAACTCAATTTCTTCCAAAATATAGGAGTCGGATCCTGTTGATCAATAGGTTCGAGTATGGTGGTGAGGAATGAGCGAAGGAGGAAATGAAAAGTAAAGTCATTGGCACTGTTCCGGACCGTTAGTAACCTTGAGGGATTATAATACAACTTTTATCTACTGAATACAATAGCTGAGGTTGATCAATTTTCTTCAAACTTAGTCGTCCGTTATCACTATTCAAGAGCAATTTACTTGTTTCTAGTTCATTTTTCATTTCATTGGTCGATAGAAAATTTGTTCAAGCCTTATTTTGAACCGGGCTTTAGTGAACAACGACGACAAGAGTAATATGAAGCAGAGCTACTCAAACAGTCAGTTTAGCAATGAACATAGGATTGTCTTAAAATTTTCATCTGTTTGCGGACTTTAAACTATGACTATAGTGACGAAATTACTTGAAAACAGATGAAGATAGCCAATGTATATTTTCATTTCATCGTACAACTCCTCCACTTAAATCTGCCGACAAACTATTGAATTGTTTTCTACAACCGCTCTACTACCAAAATTAAATTCTTCATATCTGTCTGCAGAAAAGCTCTCCTGAATTGGTTTGATTATACCAGTTTCTGCACTATCCAGGAAAATATTATTTTAGTATTCTGGATCAGCAGTGTAGGTTATCTGTGTCAACCATTGCTACTTACTCGAGTGAGCTGTAATGGTTTGAAATCATAGTTTATGTTGAAGACACTTTGTGGTTCATTCTAAACGTACACTATGCAATCGTAATAATAAGGCATGTCTACTCAAATTAATGGGTTCTAATAAATACTCTCAACAGACACGAGCATTTTTTAGTATTTATAGGCTGCAGAAGTACAAGTTAAAATCACTGTCGTATACGATTGATTGGTTGGCGTTGTGTGACCTTAACCTCGTAGTACATCGGCAATCTTCGATTCTCGTTGACCTGTGTTCTGGACGGTTTCGCGATAGGCCACTGACCATACAGTATTTATTTACAAGAGCCTGTTATTAGATGTATAAATTGACTTAAGTACTCAAAAAATGTTATTGTCATCGGTTTTGTTATTTTCTTGGGAGATTGAAATATAGGGAATGACAAGAAATATGTGGGTCAATTTTGAGCTTAAAAGTGACCTACAGGAATTAAATGAATGATATCGAATTTAGCATTCACTGATAAATACTTCCGAGTTTATTGCGATGCCTATTGGTCACCAAGATACAGATACATACAGGGTGAGTGACGTTGCTATGTATGTTGTCCAGACACACGGTGACTTTGAAGTCATGTTTAACCAAGATTGAAAACACTGTAAATTGCATTGTGATATCTCCCATAGGTCTATGACTCTCCCGATCAATACATAGAGCCTTCAGCCATGTAAATATGGGGATTTTTTCACTTTGCATGTAGCGTTTACACATCCTAAACCTGAGTATTGAGTGTGATCAAATAATTCTTGCCCAGAAATGACAGTAAGGAGTTGGAATGGGCTCAAATATACGCAACTAATTAGAATTCTGCGTTGATAAAACTGCTGTGCACATAAAAGGTTTCTTAACTCAAGCCATTTCTCTTCGTCATTTAACGGAACTAGAGGTGTATGAATATCAGATTTTAAGTTACTGACGACTTAGTATTTGAATAAAACCACTTCTCTTAAAAAACATTTACGAAGGTACTCATGAAAATTAACAAGCCTAGAAAAAATTGCCTTTAAGCTGAATCAATTCATTCTTTATTTGGAACTTTACAATGTATTTGTTTTACACGTTCGAACACTTACTGTCGTCGTCACGACACCTCCGCGAATTTTCGAACGTGTTAGAACTCACGGATTAAAGTATGTTGTACGACGTTTGAAATCTCACACCCATAACTTCTTGTTTCGATTATTAGATTGTCTTGATCTCATGGTCTTGTTGTTGCTTATCAGTGCTCGTTTCTTATGTAATGAATGTAAGTGTCCCCAAAAAGCGGTAGTGTCTTGGTCTGATTGCAGGACGTAGGTGGGTTTCCGCAAAAACGTCGAAAAAGCTTTGAAAATATCTGGTAAACACGCGAAAGTTTGTGAGAAGATTGAGGAAATGCTCACAATTTTTGTTAGTTTCTTCACATCTGGGGAATTTTCGGGACCTTTGTGCCATTTTCTCAAATCGTTTAAATAGGCTTTCTCAAAATTTCTCTAAAAAGGACATTTTATCGACTCATGTTTTGTTTTATTTCCTCGTTTTTACTTCTCCCTCACACTACTCTGTGTGCTTCCTTGATTTATCTGGAACATTCTGGCTCGTGGTATATATCAATATAAAAACGAACTTGCATTTAGAAATTATTGATTAATTCATTGGTTGTTTCGTTACTTTAGTTTATCGAGTGCAGTTAGGTGGATGTTGGTGAAGCAACAAATCCATATGCATTTCACCATGTGATTCACTCTTTCGGCAATGTTGAGACTTTGGTCGAGATTCGCGCTACAAAGACGGTCGGTAGCCATTGAGTTGCCCTAAATGTTATTCAGGATTTTCTAATCATATGCTTTAAGGTTGTATTATATTGGAGAAGGGCAATTATAGCTATTTCGAAAGGGCTACCTGTTAGTGGGATATATATTGGATTAAGCATGTTTTATGCATGTTGGTGTCGCTGCGCGCTGATTGTTTAATTTTTAAACCGATCAGCCCGGGCATATTATTACAGAAAAATCTATAAGCTTCTTATGTATATACTATAAATATATGAACATTATTTAAACTATTGATTGCTGTTCACATACAATTGTTATTTCGAATACAATTTCATTCCTGTTCAACGTGTTCTGATTTTGGGGTCTTGTCGAGTGTCATCGTATAAGAATATTAAGCAATAGGAATAGCTGGGTCGTTTATATAGCAAAAATAAAATCATAACAGTGGCGACGAGGAAAAAGGAAAATTCATTCAATATGCCTATATCAGATGACCAGCTTAGCCGAATACTACAACAACAGCAAGCACAACTTGATGCACAAATGCGGTTGTTGGAGACTCTGATGCATCCAAAACTCTGAAGCATCCAAAACTCGAGTTCACATGCTGTTTCAAGTACTTCTTGTGATGCAGTTGCTAGCAGCATCCCAGAATTCATCTATGATCCCACAAGTGGAAATACTTTTCTCACGTGCTTCAAGCGTTGGGAAGACACATTCAGAATAGAATTCTTTCAACAAGATGACGCATGGAAGACTCGGTTGTTGATGCGTAAGTTGGGAAGCAATGAGCATGCACGTTATGCTGATCATATATTACCAAAGTTACCTCGAGAGCTCAGTTTCGAGGAGACAGTAAAGCAATTGTCAGAGATATTCGGCGAATCTTCCTCATTGTTTAGTATTCGTTACCAGTGTCTTAATTTGGTGAAACGAGAAGCCGATGAATATGGTGTTCTAGCAGACATCGTCAACAGAGAATGTGAAAAGTTCAAGTTACGCTCGTTGACAGAAGATCAATTTAAATGCCTTATATTCATCAAAGCTCTGCAGTCATCACAAGATGCTGAGATTAGAACCAGACTTCTAACTCGTTTGGATCAAGATCCTAACATCACACAGAACGTTAACAGATGAGTGTAAGCGGCTACAGAACATCAGACACGACAACCAGTTGATTGAACAGGTAAATCCTAATTTAACCTGCAGTAGTGTCAATGCTATTACGAGGTTAAAAGTTCAGGAACCGAAAACAAGTGGTAGCAAACCAACGACTGTATATTGGTTATGTGGTGATTGGCATTATGTACGATTCTGCCCATTCAAGAAACATAAATGTCAGATGTGTAACAAACGTGGGCATAAAGAAGGTCATTGTCCTCCAAATCGTACGTCCCAGCCTAAGCAGAAGCACAAACGTCCTCGACACATAAAGTCAGACGAATCTAAATCACTTTCTCTGGTAGCAGCTTTTCAAACAGACTATGACATTCGAAGAAAGTATGTTACGATCCAGATTAATGGTATAGCGGTTCGTCTTCAAATTGACACAGCATCCGATATTACTCTAGTGTCTAGAGAGACTTATAACTTGCTGGGAAAACCGCTAATGAAGCCATCCAAGAAAACGGCTAAAAACGTATCTGGAGGTGTACTGAAGCTAGTTGATGAATTACAATGTGAATTTTCCTTCAATGTAAATAGCTGTAAAGGAGTATGCTATCTAACAGAACGACCAAACCTTGATCTACTTGGTCTAGATATGTTAGAAAAGCTTGGATTAATGGATATACCCATCAACAGCGTGTGTAACGTGTCGTGTCCATCATTAGACACCACTTCATATGCAAAAAAGACAGGTAAAAAGGTTCCAGAAATACGGAGTGTAGCAGCAGCGGCAATTCGAAACACTCCAGTGTCGTCAGGTGAAGTCAGAAAAGAATTTTCAGAATTTTGTCAGCAGAACGGAATCAGGCACATTCGAACACCTCCATTCCATCCGCAATCGAATGGCCAGGTAGAACGTTTTGTTGGTACGTTCAAAAATGCTCTAAAAAAATCAAGAGGGTAGGGGGACACCGAAGAGATCTTAGAGATGTTCTTGTTTATCTACCGTTCGACACCGAACCCTCAGACAACAAATGGAGTCTCCCCAGCGGAAGCGTTACTTGGCAGAAAAATACGTACACATTTTGACAGCATTCGTCCGACTCCAGCTCTTAAGCCGCAACGAAACGTGATGATGGAGAAACAGTACAATAGTCATCATGGGGCACAAAAACGATTGTTCAGTGTGGGTCAAAAGGTACTTGCTATGGACTATCGAGAAAAACATCCTACATGGATAGCTGATTGGATCGTGCAAAAGAAAGGAAATGTGGTTTACGAGGTGTCCGTTGGTTCAGAAATCTGGGTGCGTCATGCTAACCAACTGAAATCAACCTCGATTTCCAACAACGAAACGCAGCATAGATTCCCTCTTGATGTTCTGCTAGACACCTTTGAGATCAAAACACCTGAAACAGACAGGACAGTCAAGGTTCAAACGAAGGATGATACAACGTCCTTATTACCTAGAAGGTGGACTAACCGAAAGCACAAACCAGTAAAGCGGTTGCAGTTGGACTCTAACACCAGATACTACGAATCTGCTCAAGGGGGAGGTGTTAGTGGGATATATATTGGATTAAGCATGTTTTATGCATGTTGGTGTCGCTGCGCGCTGATTGGTTAATTTTTAAACCGATCAGCCCGGGCATATTATTACAGAAAAATCTATAAGCTTCTTATGTATATACTATAAATATATGAACATTATTTAAACTATTGATTGCTGTTCACATACAATTGTTATTTCGAATACAATTTCATTCCTGTTCAACGTGTTCTGATTTTGGGGTCTTGTCGAGTGTCATCGTATAAGAATACTAAGCAATAGGAATAGCTGGGTCGTTTCGATAGCAAAACACAAATATAACACTACCTTACTGTCCCTCCATTACGTAATAATATTGTGTGAATTTATTGTTTGTTACCATCGCCCCTTTAGGCACAGGTGTTATAAATACCGATTGATCGGAAATTTGAAACATCCAAGCATCCACCAGTTTACGTACGTGTGCTCTCGTCGTTCTATAAACACTTTTTCGGTTTACCTATTTAGACACTAAACTCTTTATGTCTAAAACTCGTCCTTCAAAATATTGAACGACCGAACATTTGTCAACTTTATTTGAGTGTGCACTCACTACAGATTTTAGAAGTAAGTATTTCCGCCCCTTTGTGTTTGTTAAGGTTAAATATACAGTTTAGTTCATTCATTCTAGCCAATTAAGTCTTCAAACAGCACATTTTAATTCACTTTGCTTCAGTAATGGAATTAGTGTAACTTATAGGTACGTTATTGATTTATTTGTCAACAGGATAATAACCATGACATGCGTGTCTAATTTAGTGCACCCACTTTAAAGTGCTATGCTGAATTCAGGTTTGCGTGTCTAGGTACGTACGAAACAACCAATTTTTTACCGATGACATTGTTACCACTTGTTCATGTAGAGCGTTTTAGTCGCAGTCAACTTGATGAGAAAAGTTAAATGTTATCCTTTGTTTAATTGTCGCTTCAATTTTTTATCATAGTCTAGAGGGATATTCTGTTACTGAGTAAATAAAAGGACGGGAATGTTAGCCCAAAATCATTATTTGCAGTACCACAAGCAAGTTTAGGATTGAATCATTTTTAACGAGAGGTCACCGTTTTAGTCAATCTACTTGGAAATGATAACTTGATACTTACCTACTAATAATGCTAGATAGTGCTGTTAGGATATAGGCCGTTTGAATACATGCTACGTCTAAAACAAAATGCCGTAATTTGTGCTTTCATACCGAAAGTATTAAAACATATTTTGTGTCACATGTTTTGTTTAAAAAATCTATTAAACTGAGGAATTAACCTGTGTTTACAGGTAATGATGACTGGTAAAAGTTTAAAGATCTATTAGTTCCATGATACAGTTAACGCCTCTGTGTCATTATACTCCCTTGTTTAGCTATGTAGGGTCAAAAAGTTTATAAAACTTATTTAATTTGTCTGGGTACATTATTTGTACAAACATGGTAGTTTAAACAAAATATAAGATACTATGAAGCCGACTTCATGTCAAAGTGTATGACAATAAATATATTATGGTTTGTACTACTTGTACAGACAGATGTAAGTAGCATGAGCTAGGAATTAAAAGAAGAATTGCTATGGACAGAAGTGGAGAATGAAGAGGAGAAAACGGAAAATAGAAAGCAATTAAAATAACAACAGTGACAAAACAAGGAAGGAGGTTGTAGCGGACAATTGAGGGAAGATAGGCAAATAGTGTATTTAGTATATTAACTTTATGCATTACAGATACAGCGAATACAGTTAATTGGTTTGCACAATCAATTCTTCGTTAATTACTACACGATATTTGTCAGACCTTATCTTGTACTTATAAGAAAAAGCCTTTGTACTTTATTGTACTCACTTGACGAAAAGTGTTGCATGGTATGCCATCCAGTTATTGCTTCTCCCCCAGATTTATCCGTTCTTTACATCAATAAACAATACTGTTACAAACGATCGACCAGTTGATTTTCAACAACAGGCATTGAATGTTGCAAAATCCACAATACTTAATAAATTATGATTGACTCTAGGGTTTAAAGGACAACAAAGGTAAAAATTAATGTACAAAAGCCCTGGTCATCACTTTAATTCAGTACGTCTAAAGTTTCAAATATTTAGTAACCCGTAACTAATAGAATATCTAGTGAGCACTGAAGTTCTTACTGACTCATAACTGCTACGTAAAAATAAAAAATCTTTATTTTCCATGATATAACAAACTGACATTATAGTAAAAGAAAACTTGGAGGCGATAACCAGTTTATTTTTCGAGGCATAATTACGGCTTTCTTCGGAAAAATATGAAAACCAGGCATTAAATACATAGTTTGCACATCTTTCATTAGTTGTTATTTACAAGCCTCGTGATTCTTTTAATTCTGTTATCAGAATAGCCTTCTATTTCCATTTCTGTTTTCTTCAATTAAATATTCTCAATCTTCTGCTGCCATGCATTCAACTTCCGACTAGTGCTACATACCTGTCAATATTAGTAGCATACACCACAGTACTACATACAACAAGCAATTATCAATCCAGTTTTTTATTTGTTGTTCTGATCTGTCGAACGATAGCAACATACTCTTAGATCCTAATAAGTCTATATACATTCTAGGTTTATTTGATTTAGGCTATTCAAGATTACACAACCATCGTAGTTTGCTTTACATCATGTTGTACCTAATAGTTTCATGGTTAGTATTTCCAGACTTCTATGATCATTGTAAAGTTTACAACATAAAATTTATTTCTAAGTGCTCAATACACGCGAAAAGTGATCACGTTGTGTGTCTGGCCCAAAAAAGGTTCATTAAAGACGTCGTCTTAATTATCTTGTATAAAATGAACCATATTAAATCTCAATATAATATCACGTTTCATTTTTCCCAACATTTAACATTTGTGTTGCAGGTTATTCAAGTAAATGTGTGCTTTGTTTGCACATTAAAAAGTTTCTTCTTTTTTCATTATAGGTTCTTGGAATTATTGAATAGAGATTTATTGGTTCTGTTAACACCTTATCGACGCAATTTTGTTTAGAGTGTGAACGACAGTTGGTCAAATGTAGATAATAGTAAATAAGTTATGGAGAGTTCTACTGCTTTTTCACTTTGCGTCATTTTACGTGATGCAGTAAAAGAGTTCAAAATATTAGCAAATGTTGTTGACATTATGCGAAAAAAGGTCAGATAATCGATCAGTTATTAAGTAATCAAATCTAAATTTAGAAACAGAGAAACAATTTAAATTATTCAGAAGCCGAAGAATTTGTCGTTAAACAGATGAATAAAATACTGGAAAAATACTCGTTTAAATACAGTACTTTGAAGTTAATTATTGAAGCGTAGGTGCCAGTTTTCAAGATATGCATGCGGAGGTGCTCAAAGAATTACAGAAAAGTCCAAAAATTACGGAGTATCCATCGACTGCAACAGTCATTGAAGACTCATTTTTTTCCACAAAATATATGGAGAAATTAATGAAGGAAATGTAGGTATTCATCATTTTTTGAATTAACAGATTTTGTTTGATTGGTGTTTTTGAAAAATTGGCAGAAGAAATTCAAAATACGGGGTCGTATGATACATTGCAACAATCAGTTGACAAAGAAGAATCAGAATTCAAAGAGATAGAACATATCCTGGAAAGGTAGGTCATAAATGTCTCTTAACAAAAATCAAGCATGAATCCGTTTCCATAAAATCTGTAGTCTTTTTACTAATTTAGTATACCTTAGCTGCCATACGGAAATACATTTTAATCGTTTAACTATATTATCACGATTTTATTTATTGGTTCTCAATTTATAAAACCCACGTCATTTTTTAGCACAGCTTGATTCCTTATCTTAATTGTCAACTTGATTTTATATTGTATAATAATTTGTGTCACCAGGACTAAAATATCATTCTGATCATACGTTAGGAGCTTAAGGTAAGTGTTTTGGGCTGTTGGGTCAGTTTACACGGTTAAAACAATAACAATGAAACAATTCAAAAAATTGGGAAGTACTGTGTGAAATAAAAGGTTTCGTTATAATACGCCTCAATAATAAGTAGTAAATTAGTTGCCAGTCTCTTTTTAACGATGGATTGGATAATCTGAAGAATCTACTTGCGAATAATTTACATGTTTCCGCATCTTTTAAATTGTAAGTAAAAGTGAGAATATATAAATCTTCGTCTTTCAACAGTAATGCAGTTGTCTTTTCGTGGTTTAAATTTAAAAATCGGTTAGGTGTTTAAACTAACACTGATAATCATGCTGTAGTGAACAGAACACTGGCTGGGGACAATCGAATGTATTTAGGTAAAAATTACATACTATCTCACTAAATTCTAATAACCATACAATGAACAGTTAATTTGCAAATTAGAACCGATTGTCTCAATCTTCACTGTTTATTCTCTAATTCCATTGTTCATGCATTCTCTTACAGTTTGCGCTTCATTCCAGTTCTTTCCTCATCGGTCTTCTGCCAAAATACCTTCTATGTCTGACCAACACCATATTCTACTTATATGGATATAAGTAGACCACACCACAATACTATTGTGACTTTGATCTGCCAACTTGTTCCGCTGTAAAATATGTACGGGAATTAGTCTCTGAACTAGCTAACGGACCTGGTGTGCCAGGTTACCTGATATGACCTTGATAATGTCGATTCATAAGTTCGACTTGTGACTATTAGCCTTGAGAGCAGAAGACTATCTTATTCGCTGACTAATGATCTGTTAAGAAAGCACTTATTATTTAACAAGGAAATAGAAGACTGTTGCCACCAATTCTGTATTTAGTTATATCTTATTCAAAAGAGTACATCACTGAATGTGTAAATAATTCAACCAGAACGCGTATTAAGTGATAATTTTCAGTGTATTTCGAGTAAATAAGTTGAAATCCTGTTCTTAAATGTTGACAAAACGTTTTATCTCTAACGTTATACTTGATGCACATACTAAAAAAACTGAATTTGAACAGTAAAATTTTAACTCACTGGTCTAGAATTATGATGCTTTCAATGCTCAAGTGACGTTTCAGGACTCGATTTTAGTCAGGTTGTGGATATGCTCTATGGATGAGCTTTAAGTTAGAATGAAACAACTATCTTGGGTTTCTTAAAGATTTCCCAGGTTATATTGTAGTGTAGGTTACTACGTTAGGGCCACATAACTTATTCTAGCTTCTGGACAGGCCAATTTATCCATTCTTCTTGAGTAGTCACGTTTTGATCTTGTTAATTATTAAGTTATCAACCCTGACTGTTTTTATATGGACGTATATGTGTGTACACTTAACCTATTCATCATATTGCCTGTAACTTATTTTATCTGGCTATAAATGGTGGTGGCTCACACGCCTTCTCCATTGCGCGCCATCTCTTTTCGTTCTCTTTTCTTCGCTTCATTGTCTGTCCAGATCAGTGAGTGTACAAAATATATGTATTGAAAAATCTATTCTCGTATTTGACTTATTTAATTCGGTGATTCATTAGCGCGAGTTAGTAGATTATTTTATACGAGAATAATCAGGATATATATTTTAACAATCAATCATGCTATCCAAGAGCAGTCAGATTTAGGGTCACTAAAATATTATTATATGATATTCTCTCACTATCTCTCCACAAAAGTTTTCTAATCAAAAGAAAAATACAATTTACATTTACTGTTTAAAATAGAGAACGTAAAGCACGTGAAAAAATCAAGGAACTAAAACATAAGATTCAAGAAAAGAATGAAGAAGGTATAAAAATTATTGAACAAGGCAAAGAAACTATAGCAGATTTAAAAGATCAAGTTCAAGTAAATCTTATCTTTAGTTGTTTTTCTTTTGAGATTTAATTTTGGAGGCATCTGTTTGAAACCTTAATTTAAAACAAAGCATACTTTTTGTAAGAGATTAGAAAATATATAATACTTTTAATTATATACAATTTTATTCGGTTATTAGCTTAAAATAATATTGCTACATTATAATTGATTGAACTGTCACTAAATATTCCACAATGTTAAGATCTAAAAGCTAATTTTGATAATTCCGATTACCTTTAAGATAATTTTGTATAAGAAACATAAATTGCAATTTGCCTGCAATGAAATAATAGTCAAATTGTAGTGTGGTCTACTTATATCCATATAAGTAGTATATGGCGATGGTCTGACATGGAATGTATTTTGGCAGAAGATCGTTAAGGAAAGAACTGAAATGAAGCGCTATTGGTAATAAATGCATGGAAAATAGAATTAGAGAGGATGAACTGATATTTACAGAAGGAACAGTGAAGATTGAGACAATTGGTTGTTATTTTGCAAATTAACTGTTTGCAGTATGGTTATCAGAATTTAGTGAGACAGTCTCTAATTTGTACTTATATACATTCGATTGTCCCCAACCGGTTTTTTGCTCACTAACAAATTACTTGTTATCAGTGCTTCGATAATACTTATAATTTAATAACTTCAACCTACAAATATCCAGTGTTTTTAAAGTCTTTGTTTTATAACGATAAATAGATTTTATAGACTGCTGCTTAATGTAACTTTATTTTGATAGGTGGATAAACATTTTGTGTTCACAATAAGTGATGAAACTTAGGTGGGGTTAAAGGAGGTTTTTCTTTAAGGGTCGAGATTTTGTTAGTTGTCAACGCAATAGGTTTAATAGGACTTTCAAGATAAATGAATTGGTCACTGGGCTTATCTGCTACACTCTGTGTAATTAGACTTGACAGTGACTTATATTATTCTTGAAACAATTTGTGTTTTAAGAGTAGGATAAAAATTTTCTCAAAAACTATAATTTAATGACCAGTATAACTATTTCCTTCTTCCGATCAGCATGTAACGGCTAACATTTAAACAATGGAAATAATCAGGCTTTAGTATCTAAGTCTTTGATAGTGAGAAATTTAGACTTTATAAATAATAGATTCAATCTTTTTTATAACCAACTTCTTGCTAATCAATGTTAACAAGTATAAAATATAAGTTCATTGCTATTTAACAATTATTTACATCAGGCTGAAAATTGATTATCGCGTTACTCATTACATTCATTAAGTAGACAATTTACAAAACAAACTTATTATTATTGCTTTTATCCTATAACTCAAGGAAATGAAAGCTAAAATAATTATGGAAGAAAAATATATAACACGTTATTCTGCCGTAAAATTGGAAGAATTCCAAAGTCAGTGTGATCAAAAAGAAAATGAAATCAAACATCAAATGTATTTCGTTCAATCAAATCGTAGCACAGAAGAACGAGTTCATGCGGAGATTACATCTTACTTAAATGATCGTATATCATACTTAAGAAAGGTATCTATCAATATATATATATATATATATATATATATATACGCATAGAAAGATGTTAGGATGAATGAAATGCATTTAGATACAAATGTGGTGTTGTCTACTTATATCTATATATGTAGTATATGGTGTGGGTCAGACATAGAATGTATTTTGGCAGAAGACCGATGAGGAAAGAACTGAAATGAAGCGCAATCGTTTGGAAAATGCATGAGCAATGGAATAAGAGAAGAAACAGTGAAGATTGAAACAAATTGTTGTTAATTTGCAAATTGACTGTTCATTGTTTGGTAATCAGAATTTACTGAGATAGTCTGTAATCTTTGCTTAAAGTCATTCGATTGTCCCCAACTAGTGTTCTGTTCATTACATTTGGTGTCGCTGCCAACCGGGGGGAGGAAGGGTGCTGTTCTGCGGACGCCGCTGCGGGTCTGGAGTTGAGGTGCTAGTTGGGGCAGTCTGGTGCGGAGAGGTGGCGTCGAGTGGAGTGTTCTGGCGGGGCGGCGTTGGCTGTAGCGGGTGCTGTCGACGGAGAAGAGCAGTGGGACGTGCGGCTGCTGGGTGGACATCGGATGTAGATGGCTCAGCAGGCCGGTGGAGTTCGGGCGTTGAACGTCCCGGGTGCCGGATGGATGCGGATGTTGGTGCCCCGGCAGGTCGATGGAGCTATGGAGGTCAGCGCGCCGCAGACTCGACATTCTGATGGAGAATTTGGCA